CGAACAAAAGTTAAGTAACAAAAACTATTTACATAGTCAAAATGCTTTAACTTTGTTTTAAGAACAAAACAATTCATTAATCTATCTAACAGAAAAGTTACACACATCATACTCTTCGCCAGAAAGAAAACAAGAAAAGAGAAGAAATTAAATATCAACGATTGTTATGTTCTTATCAAGATTGTCAACAGCTGAGTGATTCATGTGACACTGTGTGTGTACACAAAAAAACTTTAAAATCCAGGAAGATGAACATCGGCAGTGGATGGTAATACGATTTAATGTGGATAAAATTGGGTAGTTTAGAAGTTATATTCGTATTCAATGGATCTCTACATCACCCAACATATACGTATTCATTAATTGCACATATGTATATAGGCAGTGTACTTACCAATTTTGGCATCATAAAGGTTTTGTCATTTTAGATGAAAACTTTAAGAGGTTTCTTTAATAATTACTCGTTTACCCACATGGTCTTGTTTCGATTAAAAAGGCAAAATATGTCATGCTCTGATAATAAATATCTATGCTTGTCAAGTTCTGTAACACTGTAAATAGATTATAGTCCTTCAAATTTAAAAATTTCATGAACATTACAGAACTAAACCGGGTATTCCAGAGGAACCAAGAAAACCAAAGTTCTGACCGGTTTAACCAGATGAGGAAAGCCCAAAACAAACAGCATAAGAAGCCCATAAGAAATAATACAATCAACATGAAAGAAATGTTCAGATATCTACAGTATCAAGCATCACCATATTACTCACTTTGAACTCGAATGAAAGAATTATAAGATTACAAAGAAACTGTAAAGAGAAAGAAATGAAAATTTCAACAAACCAAATGCCATAGATTCTGTTAACTGTGCTTTTGTTAGACACGTAAGCTATATATACACAATATACATTACAATGTTACACATAAGTACATAACACATCAAACATGTCGCATGGACTATATACACATATCACACATGTAACATCATGTTCTTGAACTCTTCAAAATCAATAACACCATCAAGATTCTTGTCATGAACTCGGATCATTCTCCCACAATCACAAGGCTTTGCCTCCTCCTCGAACCCGAGCCGTTCCAAAACCGTCCGAAGCTCCTCCGACGAAATATAACCATCGCCGTTCACATCGAACACATGAAACGCCTTCGCGATTGCTTCATCATCATCAACAACGTTATGATTCTCCGTCCCTTTCCTAACTGAAACGGCGTCGTAGTAGAACCGAAGGAATTCGTCCAAGTCAAGGCTCTGTTTTCCAACGATCAACTCGAGCTCTTCGGGAGTGTGTTCGGTCCAACCGAGCCTCTCGAGAATCCAATGGAGCTCGTCGAGGGTCACGAGCCCGTTTTGGTTCTTGTCGAGCTTCTCGAACATTCTTCGGAGATCGTTTATGCTTATGAACGAACAATCCATGTATATGTGTGTGTGTGTCTCTGTTTTGACGTTTTGGTTATGTTGGTGAAGTGTGTAATAATGTTTCTCCAGAGAGAGTTTCAAGCTTTATCGGCTATAGACATTACACACACAGAGAGCTCTATATATATAGTATATATGAGTGTACGGATGCATTAGGTGTACTTGTGGACGGAAGAGATAGAAGCAGAGGAAGCTTCCGGGAAGGCTGTAATGTGATATGAAAATGACGAAATTCTTGAAAAACATGACGTTTCTAGAAGAAAAGTCCTACAAGTATGACATTTTATCTAATTATTGTTATCTTTTGTCAACTAATCAATAGCTATCACATATATCTAACTGTGTATGAAAAATGGATGGTTTGTGATTCGTCTAATTCCGATCTTTGAATAATCTTGTTATAGACCGTAAAACAAACAAAAACTTTGATATGTCTAAACCTAAATTGTTATCTTGCATTACAATGGTTGATGATTTAACCAACTTGAAGCTTACTAGGCTAAGTTTACATACTTGGAATTTTGATTAGATAAACAGTAGTATGTGTTAGAGTGTTGTCACAATAGGATTGTGACATATGGAATGTTCGGTAATGTTCTTGAGTTTCGTGGCATTAAGGCGGTCCATACTTATCACTTTATCAAGATATTTTATCACCGGCCACATACATGTCCATGGACATTTTTCAATTTTTTTTTCCTTGTGGGGCACAAAAAAAAATCTATAGTTTTCATGTGGACAATATAAATCAGAGGAAAGAAAACTGTAGTATTATCTTTCTTTTCATCTCCAATCCCACCACTATTCCTACCACAAATTTTCATTTGACTACCATTGCCATAGTATTGAACTATTGATTAGTGAAGAACAACACCTGAGCCCAATATATACATTCAGGCCTTATCCTATATTTCGGCCCAAAATGAAAAATATCTAAGACAAAACGGCTCTCTTCTCGACGGCGCGCTTTATTACTGACTTGACTTTATAGCTACTGTTTTTGAGTGGGAGAGAGTCATGGCGAGAGGTTCGATGAGACAAGCGACTTACTTTTCTTAGCCACTCGATTTAGGGTTTTTTCTTGATCCAAACTCTCAATTTTTTTTTCCTCTTTCAGTAATGTCATATAATAAAAATGATCTCACTCTCCTTGTTTGATTGACTGCTGAGAGATTTCTAGAAATAGTAATGTAAGTGTTCCTACCACCACTCTACTTCTACTTTCTTCTTCTTCTGTTTCCAAAATTTGAATTTATGTGTGTTTCAAACTTTATCTCCTTGCATAATGATCTCACTCTCCTTGTTTGATTGACTGCTGAGAGATTTCTAGAAATAGTAATGTAAGTGTTCCTACCACCACTCTACTTCTACTTTCTTCTTCTTCTGTTTCCAAAATTTGAATTTATGTGTGTTTCAAACTTTATCTCCTTGCATGCGTCCTATAATCTTTAATTCTTACCCTCACATCTTTGTTTCCCCCCAGAATCTGCCATGAATTGAAGTGAAGCTAAGTCAATTTTAAGAAATCTGATTAATCCCTCTCTGTTCTGTGATTTGAACGATCTGTCTTAAATTTGAGAAATATGAAGAACTCTGCTGCTGATATGAGACCTGTGAAGAAGGAGCCAGATGAAGATGTGCCTTGTGGTGAAGTTGTATTATGATGGATGATGCTCAGCGAACCGATACTCCAATAGAGCCTGACGAAGCTAATCCCTCCAACATGCAACCGACTTCTTGTGCTGCTACTAATGCTAATGATGGTTGGGATAACAAAATCGATCGGCGTTATATGATGCTGTTGGATAGTTTTAGAGAAGATGGGGATTCATATCCGAGAGTCAGAGATAATCCACTGAGGTGTATTAGGTATGACGTTGATAACGGAGGTTACGACAAGCGCGAATTCAAAGCGGTTACAGATGAGAAGAAGAAGAGGAGGAGTAGAGAAGAAGATCGTAACACTGTTCGTGTGAATGTGACCAAGAAGAAGAATGTTGTTGAGTCAAAGCATCGTCATGTCCAAGCAAGTAGTAAGAAGACAGCAAAAGAAGCTGTGGTTTCGGATAAAAGGCGAAGAGAGAAGAGTGTTGATGGAGTTGGAAGAAACTCGCAAGAAGCTCGCAAGGAGAAGCATTCGGAAGGAGAAATGGTACCTGATGAGAATTACAGAGCTTATCTCGCATGGTTAGTGGAGAAATCGAGAATTCGAAGAGCTAATGCTGAGAAAGAGATACAAGTGAAGCGTGAGGTAGAAGATGATACGATGTCTTTGTCTGGTTCGGATATTATTGCGGTTGGAGATCGTCCGTTTGAGGATGAAGAGGAATCTCCGTTTGTGGCATCAAAAAGTTACAAAGTTACAGTGAGTAATTATTTATTAACCTTACCTTCGTTCACCTTTGTTTTTGCCTCACATATTGAAATCTTTTGTTTGAGTTTTATAAGGACTTGGAGGAAGAGAGCGATGAGGACGACGATGATCAACGCAGTTCTTGGTTCAGGAAGGAGATAACGAGTATTCTCAAGAAACCGTACAATGAGAAAGAGTTGTTGGAACTTAAGAAACAAGCAGCTGAGCGTAGATCGTTGATTCGGTGTAGGGAACTGCGAGATGGAAGAGAGATTGATTATGAAACGGACGAAAAAGGACGTTCATATCTCGACAAGTATCCTAGTAAGTCCACCAGACAGATGATGTTCTTGCAAGTATATATAAATTTGTCGCATAGAAAAATGTTCATCACCTTTATATTGAGTGTTTGTTATGATTTCGTCTTCGCAGATTTCAAAACGATGTTGAAAGAAGCTTTGCGTGATAAGGATCACCATAGAGCTCTCAACCTGTTGCGCGGGTTTATCTTTTATTTGGAGGTAAATAAAAGTGATCTGTTTTTCCAACTTATTTCAATCCTTCTCAAGAGTTTGAGATACCTTCTTGTTTTACATTCGATTCGTTTACCCTGAAAACGCGTCCTGTACCCTGTTTGTGGTTTAATTATTGGATCTTGTTGTTTCTCAGAAAATGGTTCGTCATGATGCATTCAAACCTTGGCGCGACCGTGAATGTTTGAAGATCACGTGATGTTTCTGACAAGAGTAGCTTCTGTTATCGTGGACTTTTGTTTCATGACATAACTTCGTTAAGGCTTTGCTTCTGTTATGTATTAACTATTAACTTCATCATTGTCTAGTAGTTCATATCTAAAGACAGCCCCCAGTGGCTGCAAGTTCTGTAATGTTTTATATCTCTACCCTGTTTACTGACTTCTGTTATGTATTAGTATTATTAACGAATAGCTTCCCAAGCCAACTTATTTAAAAAAAAAAAAAGAATAACAAGAGAAGAAGGCACAAAAGAGATAAATGTATTATAATGTGGCGATCTAATTACAGATAAACTATGTACAATTCTTCCCTGTCAAACGTATAATCTAGAGAAAGCTAAATCCCTAACCAGCTACAAAAGAGAGCGAAGAAGGTACATCAGAAAACGTGTACTTGTCCTTAAAACAGAAAAAGCTTACCTTTGTAGTCACAAAAAAACAGAACTGGCGATTGCTTCTCACTGCATCAAGGCGACTGGTCTGATTAGATTATATATGGAAACCGGTTCTTCATTATCACTGGAGACAGATTGCTCGGTAGCTGTATCATTGTTATCACCGGATTCGTACTCAGTAGCGGCGCCGAGGATGATAAAGTCGAGGCCTTCCATACCAAAAGCTTCACTGTCAGTAGAACGTCCATCGAGTAGTACCATTGGCTCAGCCTCCGAAAGACCTTTCTGAAGCGAACCAAAGTAACGACCACGGGCATTTTTCTGAGAAGGCTCGCTTGGTCTCTTCCTTTTCGTTCCTTTGCTTTGGTGCTTCGGGTGGTGGAGCTTGCATTTCGATCCTTGAGAGCATGATCCAGTGGCTTCGAAATCCGGGCAGATGTAGGAATGCTTCTTCCGACACTGTTACCAAATTAGGTAGAGACAATCCGCAATCTTACTTCATCAAGTGTTCGTGAGCGAATTCAGAGGGAGAAGCAATATATGTAACAAAGCCAGAGAGGGACCTCTTTGCTTTGTACTTCTTGTGGTATTAGTCAATTTAATATGCTATTAAAGTCACCAAAAGATTAATCTAATATTGAGGTCACTAAAATAGTCACTAGCAGTGCCTAAAGAAAGGTGTATATGCATATCAACTAGCATATCAACGTGTAATATATGCTAAGTTGGATCCTTACCTCATCTCCGTCTGAACAGTACCCCTTCAAAAACCCATCGCATATAGCGGCGCTTGGGTTGACATGCACATGCCTATATGGGCATGCCTCGTTGTTGCAGAGGCCTGCGTTATAGGTATTAGTATTGTGCATATATAAACCGCAATGGGATCGATCTTAGCACAGAGGAAATATATTACCTTGCAGAAAATAAGAACAATCAGGCATCCTTTCTGGAATGACCTGTGGAAGAAGTAACTTGAGTAGTTAGAAGATTTCTGTGAAGTAAATCCTGCAGCAATGACTAGTAGAAAACCTTGTGAGTCAATTTGCAATTTGCATTGGCACACATTCCATTCAAAAATTTGGTGCAAACTGCAATTTTCGAGGGGTCATGAACGTAGCGACATTTTCCGTCATCTTTGTTGCATTTCCCGAATCTTGTGAAGAACTGGCAGTACTTCTTCTTTTTAGCCGACCGCAACCGAGCATTGTGCAGGCTCCATCTGACCTTCTCATTTGCCAACGCACGAGTTCGTTTCTTTGGATCCCTGACAAGCTGGTTACCATTTCCCACACGAACATACCTGCAAAAAATTGAATTGAAATGCTCGACTAAGGCTCCAGAACATGGAGTAAAATTAGACAAATTTGAATAGAGAGTTACATACTCTTCATTGCCGATCACCAATCTATTTGGGATAAACGGTATTTTTGCACCTTTCCCATTTTCAGAAAGTCCAGAGCACGGTGAATCAACATCTGACAAAGAATCATGTCTCAGCTCAGCAGAGATACATAAGGCAAAGAATTTGTGCGACAAATGAAAACTAACAACACTTCCAAGCCTAGAGATTTCTCATATCCAATCAAAACCTTTGTTGAGAATCATCAACCACCTAGAGGGAATGATCACCATATATTTGATAACGTATCACTAAGGCTGACTGTGTATTGTATAGAACGGATCATCCCTATACTATACACGAATAGAAACTCCAGATATTTGATAATGGATCACTATGGCTGACTTTTGTCCCGGCTAAACGTTTCTATTTCCTACTCGCACGATCCCATATTCTTGATTCTCTAAAATCCTATTTTGATCGGATCATAATAATATAAATCCTATAACGTTTATGTGTATTCTAAATTTCGGATACCCTACCAGATATTCTCTGAAGAGTTCGCCTTGAAGAGTCCATTTTATAGCGAAGAGAACCAAACCTGAAAACACGCTCCCCTGAAGAACAGAAGTGGATAAGAACAAATCATGAGGTTTGCTAAAATAGTTATCCGGGAATCTCAAGAGACAAAAGAAGATAAATCCAAGAGAAACAAAATTGAAGCTTTGTATGGACTGGCCAGGAGGCCTCCCAAAAAACAGAATAATTCGTCCAAATTACTAGCCATGGATACTTATCGTGAACCAACTTACGAGCCAAATGGTTTCTGCTTGTCGTCCTGGTATTACTTTGTCCAGAATGCTTTTCACTTTCTTTCTTTGAAATTGCAGCCACAGCCAAGGTGGCTTCCTGTACAAATAGGGGGAAATTGTTATTGTCTTGTCTACGCCTCTTTTAAATCGTGCTAAAGAAGCAACTCAGCGAAGAAACTAACCTCATTAGCTTTTCTCGAGTCTCTCTCAATGGACTTTGACCATTTTAAATGCGACCCACCAACACTTAATACCTTGGATTTTCTAAGTGAATACCCATTAGTTGATCTTGTGTAAACTGTATGTCTCTTCCTCGTCATCGACAACTTTTGACTGAAGATTAGAATACCCTGTCACTAAGTTTGCACACACCAAAAAAGAAGAAGAAGAGTTGCAGCTCAAGGAATATGAGCACATTAGATGCTACATACCTGATGTTGGAAAAAGAACCATTTCGCATAGCAGACACTGAATTCATTAATCTTCTCCAGTATGTCACTCTTTTCCAAGGAACAAGTTGCGGCAAGATCCTCTGATAGCGCATGTGACTTATAGGCATTCTTGACTTTGGATCATTTTGCGTCCAAACCAGAGAAAATTTTGACTGCTTATATGGTCTCGTGACAGCTGCAAATACAAAGAGGACCAGTTACTTCATTTTTCGCATCTGGTTATGGGTGCAAAACAAGAAAATCATATACAAGTATATAAAAAAGGGAATCTGATACGCATGTTTCTGTAAGAAATCCTAAACCAAAAAGAAAAAGGAATAAGGCAAATCAAACCAATTCTTCCTTTCTTCCACTGGTTAGGATCTCCAACAGAACTATGCGTCAAATCAATTTGAACACATTCCTGATAGATGCTCAAAGAGCGCTGACATACCAGAGTCGGAGAATGCTGAGCTAGATGATCTTTTCGGAACCATGGTTGCAGCTGGTCGTGACTGTAATGCTTCATCAGGTGAGTGATTGGCACGGCTCTCTGAAGTCCTTACTAGCTGATTCTTACTTCGCTTGAAGTAGCCATCAGAGGGGTGAATCTGGTTTTTACTTGCACCATGAATATCCGAAGCTGCAACCAACTGATTTGCCTTCCTTTTGACATATATCATTCTCTGCAAATTTGATGAATCCAATTTAGGAGGATTTTTCTTCTGCTGGCAATCTGAAGCACAGCCTGTCTGAATTAGTGCCTCAGATGTTTTGAATGTATCCCCACTAGAGTGTTGAACATTAGCTTCTCCAGATGTAGAAGAATCCATGATAGACTCAGGTAAACCAGTGGTGAGGGGATCCATGCTGTTAGTTAACGCACATTTTCCTAAAGAAGTAGCAATGGCATTTGATACTTTGGACGTGCTGCTGTCTGAGGGAGGCTTTGATTGCCTCTCAAGAGTGGGTATTTCTCCTGTTTTAACAAGAAAGGAAGCGTTACCTATATCAACCCTACTGGCAGATCCCGTGCTTTTGTCTTCGACGCGGTTTAACTGAATAGCAGATGGAGGCAGTCCAAGGGAAACACCAGAAGAATCATACGAGGGTTTTCGAAGAAGACTATTCCCTTTACGTACGTAACTTCTACCAGATTCGGCAGTCATTAGTGGAAACTTCTGTTGCGTAGACAAAGGCTTTGCAGCTACAAAAGGAGAGGCAGAAGTATCGGACTTTCGATGCCAAGTGTGACGCTTTGTGATATGAGTTGGCGGGTTAGCATTTTTCACAGTGGTAGGCACAAAAGGCAGGGAACGGGGATAACTTTTCTGAGCAGAGTAATCGGATTTCTTCTTCCTCCTTTCTATATCAGACCTAGAACTCAGAGATGTCTTACTTTGGGAATCCTGATGTGGCACAGAGACTACATGATCTTTGACATGTGATCTAGATAGACGAACACCTGAATCACCAATAATTTCAGTTCCAAAAACTTTTCCATCAGATGACAATGTTTCAGCATCAAACATATCAATCTTAGCACTGCCTGAGTATTTTTCTTGGGAGCCAACATCAGTCAGCTTCTCTATTGGATCACCATTTGGCTTCTCAACTATATCACCACCAGGATACTTTGACATGGTGTGGTTATAAGAATCAACATACGAACCAGGTGATGTTTGACCTAAGCAAGGAGAATGCGCCACAGAACTACCAGGCTGGGTTACCTCATGGGAGGTCATGATCTGCTCTTGTAAAGTATCTAACAGAATACCCTCATTTTGACTCTCTTTAACTTTGCTAGTTTCGTCAACCATAGCAGTAACATGAATTTCACTCCGTAGCGGCCTGAAGCTCAGACTTGGTGAGTTGGATAAAGAATTACATGGAAACATCGAGTCCCCACTAAAAGCAACATCAGTTTCTGGAGTTCTGTAATTCGAATTTCCACCAGATGGCTTTGTTTCCTCTTTATAATTGTTAGTTTCATCAACCATAGAAGCAACATGAATTTCACTCCGTATCTTTCTGTACAGCCTTGGTGAGCTGGAGCGAGAATCACGTGGAAGATGAATTTCACTCCGTATCTGTCTCAAGCTCTGCCTTGGTGAGCTGGACAACGAATCACACGGAAACACCGAATCCCCAGTAACAGGAATAGTATTAGTTCCAGTAGGTCTGTACTTCGAAGTTCCACCAGAAGGCTTTGTTTTCTCTTTTAATGTATCTGCCTTAATGTTTTCAGCGCAATCATTTTCCCCATGCACGATACCACCTTGTGAATCGCTGTAGTTCGCTTGAATAGATGTTTTGTTTTGTACCTGCTCATTCACTGCCACCAATGGAGAAATATGAGATGGACTGACAGAACTATCAGATACTAAGCAAGAATTGACCTTTGAAGGATCCTTTTCCATAGAGAGATTCCAAACAGAACCAGCTGCATCAGATGATCCACATCCAAAACGATCTTCAGACAAGAACTTGCACACTGTCGAGCATGGTTGAGTTTCATGGAGACCAGACTCAGCATCAGTAACCGTTTCATCAGCTGACATGCCATTAACTCCAATAGCAAGATTTTTTTCAATCACAAACGCAGAAGAGCTAGGTAAATTATCACAAGTTGTGGAAGCATTTTGGCTAACGTCTCGCTCAACAGGACACTCACTTGAACCATCAGTAATATCCTTGCTAAGAGAAATATTTGGCTTCGGTGAACAAGCTTTCAAACCACTACACTGATCTACAGAAGGAATTTCTGCAGGATGATGAGATGCTAAACCCAGATCTTCATCAGGCACAGGTCTCTTGGAACTTACATTTTCCACACACACCTCAGATGGTACTGCCATAGCTAAATCTGATTCATTACTACATGAACAGCCATCAGTTCTCTCAACAGGCGGCAAATTTGATGATCCCTTTACTGGAACCTCTGTAAGAGATGAAGAAGTACCGTTTACACAAGTCTGTTTATCTTCACTGTCCAGATTTTCAACCATTTCTGCATCACTATTAAAAGCCACGGCTTCTTTTCTGTTAACATTCTCAACTGACTGATTGAACGCGTTTTCACCGTGAGGAAGATTTTTACTTTCCACCTGCAAAACTACACACATATCAGATGAGTTGACCATTGTATTGGTATGTGTCCCAACTGTAAAACTGTTAGCATTAGCTAGATGCCCTGAAAAACTATCTTTTGCATTAGCAAGCTCTGTTGAGACACTAGCAACGTCCACGGAGGCAGAGGAAATTAAACCCTTGGGCGGACCCCTAGGGAAGTCATTTTCAGGCGATAAGGAATCCACATTCTTATTGTTCCCCTTGTTGTCATCTTCAATACCACTGATATCTGACTTCGCCACCACCTGATCACCAGGGTCTTCTCTATTAAAGTAGATGGACGCGTCTAGAGATGAGTTCTCAAATTCCTTTTCTCCATAACCCAAAGACCTAACAGACGAACCACTGGATTTCCTCTCTTCAACCCCAGCATCTACCTCCATCATTGGTAATTTTCTTGATGGTATATACTCCATGTCTTCATCTTGACAAGGTTGGGACCCAACTTCACAAATAGACTTAGCAGCAAAATGAGTTCCTGCTCCAGAATACGAAGAAAGATCAGCGGCTCTTGGACATGATACAGGTAATTCAAGATGAGACGTATTGACTTTTGTCGTCTTCACGGTTTCTTCCTTCTCCATGACATTCATCATAGGAGCTTCGTCAGCATTACAATCAGTGCCCTTTCTGTCCAACACATCTTCATGAGACTTCAACATGCATTTGTCTTCATCAATAGCATCATCGTCAGTGAGGCAAACCTCCATATCAATATCATGTTGGACATCAGTGTCATCCTTGGCCTCTTTCGAAGCCTCACAAAAACTAGACATCTTTTCTGCAGCACGAATAGTATCACGAAGTTTTGCTTCACTATTATGAGTAATTTTAACTTTGCTGTTCCGAACACGACCAACAACAAATCTGACCTTGTTCAGCTTAACCCCGGCATCACTAGTAGACGGGGTCGAGTGATTATCATGTTTCTTTTCAATTTCAGATGCAGTAGTTTGCCTTGTAGCCTGTCTGGAGCCCTCAGAAACTGATGCCTCATCTGAGAAATGCGTTCTCAGCTTTTCATTTCCTTCAGCTACTGAATCTTTCTCATTTTTATCACTCATCAATGCTCTTCTAGCTTTACTAGACCTAGGTGTCATAGACAAGCCCGAGTTGACGCCTACACTTGAAGGTGATGCTACGGGCTTAGCTACCATAACATTCGATTTAAAGGAAACGTCAAGATCCACTGGACTTCTCCCCCTTGGCCTCTCCACCACACCACGATTAGAATAACCCAAGTGTTCTTTACCCCTAGACGGGTTAGAGTTGAACCTTTTCCCACTGTAATTACCATGATTCCGAGACCAGTCATTCTCTCTGCCGTTCTGATGGGATCTAGGAGTCTCAAGCCTTAGCAGAGCACTCTTCTTCTGCATTTGTTTCCTGGGTGCTCGATCCAATTCATTGCTCGCCTCTCTCCTTCCACGATCAAAACGTTGTTCAATCTCAGAATGGTAGTAGTCATCTTTTTTCCGGGGATAGAGAGTCCTTCCTCCATTACGCGCTTCATCCCACCTCTGGTTCCTAGCCCCTTCATGACTTGCTGATGACCTATTCATATCACGACTCACTGTAACACCATAACGCTCACTGCCATAGCCAGCACTTGAAGATAAACCCCTGTTTCTCTCATCTAAACCCCTAAAATATGTATCGGATTCTGGCTTTAACTGACCACGATGTTGGTAATTCCCCTCTATCCTAGCTGCTCCAGATTCTTTTCTCACATATCCAGGACTACGATACTCATCTCTAGACCTAGAATTACCATCTAAACCACGATTGATGCTAACACCAGATGAATCCCTCGACGAACGGTTGTAGTCGTACTGATAGTTACGGCCTGGACTCGGATCCACTCGGCTTCGACTAGCATCCAATCTTCCCTGAGAAGTATCCATTCTTCCCTGACCTGTATCCATTCTTCCCTGAGCTGTATCAATTCGTCCCTGAGAAGCATCCACTTTCCATGAATCAAGTCGTTTTTCCTTGTACCCAACCCAAGCAGACTGAGAGATATCTCGGGATTCCGTACATGGGATACTCGACGATGGTTGCGATATCCGTTGAGACACATAGCCAACTTGCTCAGGAATGTATGGAAGATGCTGTTGCTGCTGCGGTGGCGGATATTGTTGCTGCTGCGGCGGCGGGTGCTGAGGGTAGTAGGAAGAAGACGGCTGAGTAACCGCCGGGTTCGGGGGAATATCTTGGCGATGAGAGTAATGGTGGTAATCATGGCGTTGGTCAACGCTCTGGCTTGATCGAATGTAGAAATTAGGGCTCTCGGGATGAGATTGACGAGGAGGAGGATGATGCAGCGGCGGTGGCGGTGGCGGCGGGAGGAGCGGAGAAGGAGGAGGATGAGAAGAGTAAGGAAGATTCCATTGACCGTAGCTCGGGTTGTATTGAGAAGAATCCATGGCTGATTTTTAAACCCCAAGAAATTTCAGAGATCCTTTAAATCGTATCTTCGACTTCTTTAGAAACCGCGTATTCGTCTGATTCTCTGATGAAACGCACGACCACGACGATACACGAAAACGGCGACAAAAATAGAACGAAAATATTAACGAAAAAATATTATCCAAACGTGGCGATTTTAGGCTACCGGTATTATACCTGTATACTGTGTACACTATTCTCTTCTACCCTAATATTATTGGGCTAGGGCCTTGATTTATTTTGGGCCGACTTATTGCATTAGCTGAATTTAATTTACTAGAAGTCTAGAATTCAAACTGCTGCATCACTGAGTAGAAAAAAAAAACATACTTAAGAGTGAGATTTGCGACTAATTTGGGTAAATGAAAATGGTAACAAGGAAAAAATGGGTACGTAACTAGCTAGTAAGTAGTATATGAAGAATTTATTTCGTGCCATCACGTTCCTTACGAAACTTGAACAAGACAGGAAGATACTTATGTCATCTACAGAATATAGATTGACATTGACTCAGTCTCACACACACATGGTTTTGTAGTTAAGCGTTTAACGTTTTGATAAGATTGCCTAAAATATCTACGATTGTGATAGGCACTATGAAGAAGACAATGAAATGCAATTTTTGTTATTATTATTTTCTAACTTCTCGAATATACATGTTTAAAAAAAAAGTTGGATTTCAACAAGATAATACTGTTATCCATTGATAATGATAGTGAGACACGTTTGACCATATTACAAGACAAGAAAATTCACTTTGATCCATTAGGATCAAGGAATACAAACTGTGCATATCTATTTTGCCCTAACAAAGGCAAAAGTTGCAAAACAGACCCAGAAGATTCAAAGTTGTATTTATAACCCTAAACCAAGGGAGGGAGGAGGGAAACTAAAAACCCCACAATTCCACCTCTCATCCATCCAAATGAAAAGAAGCTTTTTCTTTTTTTTTTTCATATACATACACTTACACTCCCACTCAAGAGAGTCTTCACCATCTCAGCTTGGAAAGTTTTGCAATTGTGATTTGTTGTAGTAAAAAGAACAAGCTCAATTGAAGCTGGATGTGCGGCTTTCCCTGCCTTTAAGATAGTCCTCCACGGAGATCCCTTGCTCGACGCTTCCCATGGAGATGGAGTCGTCTTCCATGTCAAGGAATGCTAAGTTAAGATGTGACTGCAAATTAGACCTCTGCAACTCCTCGTCCTTTAGTAGCTTTGAGTCCTCTAAAGAGTTGCTAACTTGTTGCTTTGCCCATTTTAGCATCTCGGTGTCACCTTGAAGAAGGTTTAACACCTGCATTTTCACCAAGATAGTGTTAACTTGTTAGATATGTTTAATCATCTCTAAAATGATGAATTTGAGGACTAAGAATTGTCTCACCTTTCCCATTTCCGGCCTAGATTGTGGGTTATGTCTAGTACAAAGAGTGGCCGCTAATGCCATCCTCTCCATCTGATCACCATTGTTGTTGTCATCTCGCGAACTCGGGTCCAATAACTGAGAATAATCTCTATCATCAAGAATTGGCTTCGCCTGCACGTGTAGATACATTATCTGTTAAGTAGCAATAGCAGAGAAATCTTAGACAAGGTAAGAACTTGTTTGCTTGTAAAATATCAACATACCCACATAACAAGACTCTCTTGAGCCTTTGGAGATTCGCTATTAACCGGTTTTCTTCCAGAGAGAAGCTCGAGGAGTACAACACCGTAAGCGTAGACATCTATCTTATTGTTCATCTTACCATGCATAAAGTACTCTGGAGCTAAGTAACTGCACCAAGAAACGTATGACATTCTCAATATTTCCATCTCTTACACAACTTTCACGCAACATCAACAGTTATTTTCTTACCCGAATGTGCCTGCGACGTCGGAGCAGATGATCTGAGTTGTAGACAGCGACGCCCACTTCGCAAGCCCAAAGTCAGAAAGCTGTGAACAATACTTCCCTTCTTAGTATCATTCCTCTTCAAAATGAAAACTAGAAACTGAAAGAAACTTACTTGTGGCTCAAAATCATCAGATAATAATATGTTCGATGACTTAACATCTCTGTGAATGACTGGTTGTGGAGCACTGTTATGCAGATAGTCCAACGCCTCGGCTATTCCCACTGCCACTTTATATCTCTCGATCCAACGGAATGCAACCGGATCTTTCTTGCTGCCTGATTTCGAACCATGGATAATTGTTAGAATCACAAACAGTAAAAAAACTCTGCAAGTGGCTAAAAAGGAAAGAGGCTTACCATGAAGATTCTCTTCAAGGCTTCCTCTTGAGAGATAATTGTATACCAGTAATAGGTTATTGTTTTCATAGCAATAACCTAAGAGAGAAATAACCTTCTTATGGTTTAAGGTGGTGATGATGTCAATCTCTGCCACAAAATCCTCCAAAACGCCTTCGGTTTGCTTGAGAATTTTCACTGCAACCTCTCTTCCATTCGGCAGATAACCTCTAAAAACACGGCTGCTCCCTCCTTTTCCGATTAAATTACCTGAAAATTACATTGCTTTTCTTATTTAGACAAAAGCAAAATGACAAGAGTCTTGAATATGAGAGGAGAAGGAACAAACCAGGACAGAAATTAGATGTTGCTGACACAAGTTCCTTGTACTTAAAAGACTTGCAAGATGTGGAGAACCTCTCATGAAGACCCTCTGATTCCTCTGGAAATCTTCTTGGGGTATTATGAGGAACAATTGCTCGGCTTTCAGTGTTTAAGCTAGAAAACTTGTCATTATTATCTTCAGATTCAGAAGAATCATAACCAATCCGCTTAGTGTCTGAAGTACCAACAACAGAGTTGGTCCTAGAGGGGAGCTTCAGCACCCACTGAGCAACTGGTATCTGTCTATACGAAGAACTTCTGGGAACAGAAGAAGCTAATACATCTGAAGACGCTACACCTACACGACAAAGCAAAGGCCAGCCTGGTCTAAACTCAGGCAGTTCCTTTACCAGCAAAGTGATGAATCTGGTCAAGTCTTCTGGAGGTTTTGCTAGCACAATCGCCATTGACTTTTGGAGATCAGTATTATCTTCTTGATCACCACCATCATCACAAGTTGAAGATCCATTCAAACCAGAAACAGAGCAATTCCCAAGGCAGGAATACACTAAAGCTTGCCGTAGGCTCTTGCCATCGGAATCATGATCCTCCACCGCCTCTCCCTCTTCCTCCTCGGAATGGTCAACTACTTTGGTATTATTCTTTCTCAGTGTGACTGGCATCTGAAAGAAACTAGACAAAGTGTTCCTACGAGCATCGCTTTTTCCTATGACAAACCAAAACAAAGATGAGTTTTTTAAGACTAATCACACCACATGCAAGAACAAAAGGACAAACCTTTAGAGTGATGAATGGTCGATGGAGAGCCATCTCTCTGAAACATGACTTTCCCGTTGTCCACGGCCAAAACCCAGCAGTCTTTTGATAGTTTCTTGGCTAAGTACTTAGCCACGGAGACAGATGACTGAATCGTGTGGTGAGTTTTGGAAATTCCAACCACAACTTTGGATGCATAACACAGTTTTGCTTCTCTAACTAGAGTCTTTCTAGTAGAAGAGCCACGGCATAGCTTCTGCTTCAAATTCACCTATGAACAAGGAATTCAACATTTCTTTTTTATTTCTGCACACTAAAAGCAGAGCACTAAAGTTTTGGACTTTTTTAGTTACCTGTTTCAATTTGCAGAAACCTTCGTAGACTTGAAGAACAGAGTCAAACCTTTTGACAAGGGAGATAAGCGAAGAGTTGTCTGCTCGATCGACGAACTCTACACATCCAAATAGAGAGTAAACAAAAAATACCCATTTTCAAAAATCGTAGCTTTTCGTATCATAAATCTCAGACTCAAAACAAATTCCAGAAACAAAAATGTGTTTTTTACCATTGCTGAGAATATGAAGAGCGATTACGGTATCACCCGGTTCAGCAACCTTAACCAAAGCCCAATAAAGGAGCTCACTGCTCGACGCATCGAACTTCACGCCAACCACAATAGTACTGCCGCCTCCTGACACGACGTCGTTTTCTGTCATCTCTTTCTCTCACTCTCGCTCTCGCTCTCTTTTATTATTCTTACTTCACCAGATTTCTCAGAAATGGTTGACTGAATTTCAGGTGGATACGTTGAATCCTTTCATGAAGTGTGATCTCTGGAGAAACGAAATCATCGTAACGATTATCTGCTGATGAATAGAATTTCTACTCTCTCTCTCTTTCTCGCCGCTGTGGTTTTGGTTTTGGAGCTTTTCATAGAGAGAAGAGTAAGAAGAATGGAGGAGCAGACATCTTAGAATTTCATTTTGTTGCCATTGGATAATGACATATCTTGGTCTACACTCTCGCTCAAATATTAAATTCCTTGTTTCTTTTTTCCTTTTTCTCGTTTTTTTTTCCTTATCTCCTTTCTTGCTTCTTTAGATTTTTAACAGTCACACAATTAATTTAAAAAATTCAGATATATCATGAAACAAATGCATACAAATTTAAAATTATGGAGGATAAAAAACCGTAGAAAAATATATAGTATGTAAATTTCTGTTATATTCACAAATTATCTAATGAGTTATCATATTCACTAGTTAGAAACTCATTCAATTATCTTACCAAACCAAAAAACTACGTATTAAATACGGCATGTTCCACCGTTATCGTTTAATTTAGAAGGTAGTGCCATGTATAAACCATAAATGAGGGGGACTATATAATTATAAATAAATGAATGTTTATAAGATAAAGAATTTTCATAGATACAATAGGCTTTATTCCTTTATTTGATACGATTGACTCCTTGTCGTTTCTTTTGTTGTCGTCAACGATTCATTCCTTGCCTACTGTTTGATACTTATTTTTATTGGTAAGGTTGACGATTCAAAGATAAGCCATGAAAAAAAGTCGCATAAAATGGGTGACGTTTTTCCTTCTAGTGTATATCTTTTTGACCTCAAGTAGATGAGGATTATACTTTTATAAGCTTTCTATATTTAACGGTTGGTTGATGCACGTACCTTATGGCCAGGTCATTACCGTTAATTTAATTCCATTTGTAGTCTTTGACCAATGCTGTCTCACGCAAATTTATTCCTATTTTGAGGTTTTTCTGCAAAAGATGAATTATCGTGTAATTCAATGAATGTAGTATATTCTTACATTCATCATTTCCAACTGAATTCGATTAGAACGTGCCTAAATCCCTAAGTAAATAGAATTCTTTAGATACCGAATTACATTTTACAGTCTTGAACACATTCATTGTATATACATATACATAACGAAATTCCATATATCTCGATCACGGAATTATGGGTGTTTTTTTGGTGTGTTTGAAGTAATAATTGTTGTAGTTGAAAGATGTGAATAGGGGAGTTAAATGTTTGGTCACAGAATGGGCCGATGTAACCACCCACACAACATGAAAGCACCTGTCGGCCACACTTACAAATGTCATCCCACTCACGTGAATGGAAAACCCGAAATTCGACCAAACATGACACCGTACACGTTTCACCTTTTGGACGTCATCATAATCTCAACCTCAACGAGGTTAGATATAACCAATTAACCATAATACCTGCCGAATTAGTAGCTTCGTATCTACTAAAACGACCCACCGTGCAATTTGACAAAAATGCAGGTGATTGTGACACACATATGCATCTATGGTCGATGACTGCAATCTGCAATATGGAGTTAGAACTTATAACAAAGCAGATATTCATATCACACATGCTAAAGATGCAAAACAAGGACTATTGATACAAAGACCTAGAAACACACATGAGTAACCTATGTAAAGACCAACAAGTCATTACAAACAATATTCAGAGAGAGCACTTGAAATAAACACCTCAACCGCAAATAATGAAAATTTGGTTCTGTGATAAAATCAAAATCAAAATCCATAAGCTAGCTTCTCTAGTCATCGAATGTTAGTCCATCGAGTTATCACATCTACCACACTTTTGCTAGAGCCTAATGCATCCACCTCCGCTGCTAGTGAAGTACATGAGTTCAGAAAACACTGTCTACCATGGAACAACACATCGTTGACCCTCCACGGTATCATCTGCTCTCTTGTTCCAATCCCAGGAAGAGACGTTCACTGACTTATCGTTTGGTTTCTCTTGGGATTTTTTTAAAACCAATTTGAGACACTGAAGTCTCGTAGCTTTCTGAGATGTTTCTCCATGTCTTCTCGAGTCTTGGTCCACTCTTCCCTTTCAATAACCGTTGTCGGGTCATCTCTTTCACTCTGAAAGAAGCAAAATATATAAACACAGAGAGAAGATGAGCAAAGCAAGGTGAATGAATTGAAAATGGTCGCCAGAAGAAACGGGTGTGGAGATGGAAAGCTAACCACGTGTATGATTTTAAAGGAGTTTCCATTATCTCGTATCACCAGCAAGTCATCCTTCCTATCCCTTTTTCTTCCTCCCGAAACTGTCACCTGTAACAATCTATCACCTTAGAATATGGGAGGAACAATTGTATTAGCAGCATTGAACCACACACCGTATTTCAAGAACTCACAACTCAAAGCTATATTTTGGCTAACAGATACATCAAAGTTACCCAAACTGGATACAGTATACGATTGATGTTTGTGCTCAAACTCTGAATGGGAACTTGTTAAATAAATAAGAAGGTAACAATTAAACATACCAGAACTCTGGCTCTGGTGATTGACTTTGACTTGGAATCGATAACATAGATTTCTTCAAGATCTAGCACAAATTCTGGGTCGTTTGATCTTCTATTCCGATAATGCTTTGTCAAGAAAACCTGAATAATGAATAAACATGATAAAGACATTTGTAAATGTAACCACTATAACAAACTAAGCAGTTTCAAACTGATGCTTTGGATAACATATATCCTGGTGTCTTCTACATAAATGTTGTAAAATCAAAACTAAATGCGTCCTTGTTAATACATGTTGCTCAAGAATCCTTGCATCAAAGACCGGATGAGTTTAACATTAACATTAATGTATGGGACATGGTCCAATGTTACCTTGGATATTTCTCTCTCAGATTTGTAAAGTGGATCTCTGGGAGCATCAATAGGCGGTTCAGTGACATTGTAACATCCATAGTCACTCATTGCACATCGAATATACTGTACTTATAACAACATTAAGCAAGTCGTTATTAGCAACAACACCAAACTACTAATTAGTAAAACTCGGATGCAGTACGTGCACAAACATCAAATGCGAAAGTGTACAAAATTGGCCAGAGTTAAAATGAGAATTGATTGAACAACACAAATTCTGACTAAATGAGCATACTAAGGGCTAGTAGGATTGTAGGAAAGTTCTAAACAATAGCAAAGCTCTGTGCAGATAAGATATCATATCTGATACAATTACCAGGTAGAATGAAATGCAATTTCAGGTGAATTGGATAAAACAGCAATAGAGCAGAATCTGAACAGCAATTATCTTGTTGAAAGAGAAAATCCTGGAAAAATCAACAGCTAGTAAAGATGTATGACTGACCTTTTGAGGCATTGGAGCAAGAACTCTCGGAATTGAATAAATATCCGTATCCGGAGGAGTAACATACATCTGCAGCCACATAAAAAAAACGCAGTGTACAGTTGAAACTGACCCAGAAATCGAAGAAATGAGCAATTGAGAAACCGTGAATTCGGCGTACCTCTCTGAAATCATAAACATCGTTATCAGGATCAGGCGGTTTTCTGATGAAGAAATCGCAGTCCAGCAAGCTGATTTTATGGAACTCGTCTTCGTTTATCCGATAATCCACCACCATATCCGAGTCCCACCCCTGTGTCGATATGAAGTTTTTGCTCTGCACAAAAGCGATGTCCCCGTCACCGCCAACGCCGCCTGCAGCAGCCATCGCGGCGGCTAAAGGATCGTACTCGACGTCGTAGTCCTTCTTGTTGTCCACTTCCTCCACCTCCTCGTCATCCATGTCGTACTCGTCCTGTCCACCGCCGTCGGCATCGACGTCGTCTACTTTGACGATGATTGCACGCCCGCGGCGGGATTTGAGTGTCAAAGGCGCGAAACCGCCGCCGTCGTTTCTGAACGATGCAAAGAGCCGCTGCGTGGTGGCGGAGGAAGCCGGAGGTTTCGAAGTGAAAGAGAGTAGAGATAAGGAGGGAGCAGCGGCGGAAGACGCCATGGGAAGCGGATAGAGCTCTCTCTCGAGAGTGTGTAACTGTGGATTAGATATTTCGAGAAATGGTACAATTAATTGAAAAATAATTAATAAACCTTTTTTCAGAATAAAACAACAACAAAATAAACTGGGAAAATTAGGATCGTTCTTTTGTGTATCCCGCGCAACTTTGTAACAAAATTTCTTCAGTCTCTCTTGAGTCTCCACATCGATTCGTCAATTCGACTCTTCTGATTGATGTTCAGATTGTGCCGTCTCTAATCCCGGGATTTGTAGATATTGGGCCACTGACCCGACCCGATTAATTAATGTCGGAAGTGAAGGAGACGAGTGGGGGTTTTACTGGCGGCGAATCCTCGAGGGCGTCGCCGAAGGTTTTGATGGCCGGTGATCGAAAATTACTAAAGGTGGAGCTCCGGCCAGGGGATACGACGTATGTGTCGTGGAAGAAGCTCATGAGGGAAGCTAGTAAGGTCAATGGCTCATCGGCTTCGGTGCCCGATCCGCCTCCTAATGCTAACCCTAACCTCGAGTCTCGCATTGCACCGGTGAGTTAGCTGTCATAAGATTATACCCGTATAGTTTTCGTAGCCATTGTTGGATCAAGCAATTTCTTGTTTATGGGAGCTGTATTTTCTGTGCGCGTATTTGTTAGGGTTTAATCCAGGAATTTCACTAAATTAATCGATTTTTAGATTATTTTTTTGGGGGAAAATGCTTGACATGGCTGATTTTCTTAGTTGCTAGCTACATGAGGCTAACTTCGTCATTATCAATGTGATTATGCCATCAATTATACTTGATCTGGAAATGAATTTGGTTCAGTTAGTTGCAATGAAAAGTATATGTGTGTATGAGTGAAGAATATATAGAAAGTTCATTTAGCATCTACTAGTGGAAGAGAATTTGGCAGCTAAAGCACATCTTCATTTAGAGAAGATAGAAGAAGCTTGCGGCTTCCTCACAATTTGTTCTTGTTTTGCATACAATTGGGATTCAAAATTATTGTCAATAGTTGTATTTCCATATCCAATGTAGGTGCATCCAGCAGAAATTGAAACGAATGGCCAACCTCATTCTAACCGGTTCAACGCTGTTATTGAGAAGATAGAGAGGCTCTATAAGGTGTGTTTCTCTTTGTTATATTTACACATCTCTGAATAGTGTATGCTTACTTCAGAACATAACTCTCAGGGACAAGATAGCAGTGATGGGGAAGAATTAGACGGTGCTCCTGACGATGATGAGTATGACACTGAAGATTCATTTATCGATGATGTTGAACTGGTTTGTGCTGATATCTTTCATTTGTTTTTATGCTGGCCAAGTGTTTCTTGATAGCTGTGACATCATATCTTTGTTTTTTCTTTCACCCGATTCCTTGCAGGATGAGTATTTTGAAGTTGATAATTCTCTAGTTAAACATGATGGATTTTATGTCAACAGAGGAAAGTTGGAGCGGATGTGAGTTTCTTTCCTTTTCTTATTCTTAGAAAACATAACTTGAGCTGGTTTTGTAGCATTTGATATAGTCAGATCATGTTAAAAATACCAATACGTGTCATGACAAATACCTCATATATGAGATGTAGGTTCTGAGTTTATAAGACAGATTTTTGTTTTTCACTTTCACGTAAGCATGCTATATTCCATTCACCTGTTATCTAATCCCTGATTACTTTTTACCACAGGGAACCTTTGACAACATCGAGCCAGCAACCCAAAAAAAGGCGACGGAAAGATATAGCAAATTCCTTTGGCGATGCTGTTGACGTATCCAATAGACAAACCAAGGTGCCTATAACAGCTAGGCGAAAGGTAGCATCACTGCTTGCAAATAACTACTGAATCCTTTTCGCGATTTGGGTCGGATGGCTGATTTTGTGAATATGAAATTCCAGGATCAATCAACTGCTTCTGGATCTTCTTTGAAGAGAAAGTATAATGTTGCAAGGAAAACACAGGAGTCACCTTTGCTTTTAGAATTACAAAATGCAAACGTAGCATTATCTCTGGACGATGCTAATAATTCTTATAAAGCAAGTCCTCAGTCTAGGAATACTACAAGTCACAAGTCAAAGGAACCTGGATCCTCTAATGCACTTCATCAGAAATACAGCAACAAAAGTTTACATCAACAATCTAATTCCATGCCAGGAAAATCTTCACTTGTAATGGTACGTCAGAAAGAAAACAATGGTACGCATGACCTGGCAAATGCAACAGGAAGCAGAAAGTCAATTCAAGTAAGGGTAAATACATTCCAACTGTGTCTTAAGTTCTTAAACTTTTCTCTGTTTTTGGATTCTGAGATAAACTTGTTTTTTCGAGGTCTGTTGTCATCTGTTACATCCCGATGATGATTTCTCTGATCTTCGAAGACTATATAATGTTCTATTATTGGAAAGATAAAAGTTCGAGAGTAGATGGTACTTATGTCCCATGTTATGTGGCTGGCATCCATTTAAGGCTGTCGTAGTAGTTTTCTTGCTCTAGCTTCATCATGGTTCTCAGTTAATTTTCTAGATAATCGTTTCTTCCATGCATATTTTTGTACACAATACCTAAGACTACCTTTATAATTCTGCAATAGTCTGTATCTACGCAGAAAAAAGATGGTTCTAATATGAAGTCTAAAACCTCGACCCTCGAGAAAGCCATAAAGGAATTGGAGAAGGTTGTTTCCGAATGTGAGTTTCAATATTTTCAGGCACTTATATATTCTACATGGAGGATCAACCAGAATAGCATTGGGTGATTTTAAGCTTATAAGAAGTTGTGATTTATTTCAGCACGGCCCCCTGCTGCCACTGAGAATCAAGAAGCCGATACCTCCTCCCAGGCAGTTAAGAGGAGATTGCCAAGAGAAGTAAAATTGAATCTAGCTAAAGTTGCTAGGATTGCGGTACTATAGCTTTTCTATTTGTTCATCTAATTTTGGTGAAACTTGCATCAGCTTTTCTATTTGTTCAATTAATTTTGGTGAAACTTGAATTGGTCTGAGAAACGCTAGAATGCTTTTGTTGCAGCAGGCAAGCCAGGGAAAACTTTCGACAGAGTTGGTCAACCGTCTTATGAGCATTGTGGGTCACTTAATACAGCTTAGGTCACTCAAGGTAAATGATCTGTCTCCTGCATCCTGAGTCTGGGATTTCTTCCAAGGATTGAATTGTTAGACTTGTTCAGGTTCCAGTTGAAAACTCTTTCGTTCCAGGTGAACACAAACAAAACATGGTTTTTTCAGTTGAGGTAAACGTCTTACTGTTTCGTAATGCTTATTGTTGCAGAGGAACTTGAAAATCATGATTGATATGGGTGATTCTGCAAACCGAGAAAAAGAAAATAGATTCCAGCGAATCAACAAAGAAGTTCTTGAGATGATAAGAGCTAAAGTTTCTTTGCTGGAATCAGAGGTTCTCTCTCTCTTCTAGTCTACTACTTGCTTGGGATATGCATTTCCTAATCTTATTACGTTCTTGAAAGTGTCATTAACTCGTATAAAAATCTGGAATTCTCTTTGAGGTTGCTCGTAGATTAAGCTCCTCATTTTTATGTTTTTGGTGTTCCCTGCGGCCAATCTGCTCTTTGTAGCGTATTTCTCCCTCCTATCAAAATGTGGAGGCACCTGTGATACTATTGCATATTTCTTGCACAGGCAATCAAACAAGAAGCTGGATCTTCAGACGATTTTCAGGACTCTGTAGGAAAGCCATCTTTGAAGAAATTTGTCATGGATGCGGCACTGGAGGATAAATTGTGTGATCTATATGACATCTTTGTCGATGTAATCATGATTTACTTTCTATAATCTGCCCTGTCAATTCTTATAGACCTAGAACTAAAGTCAACACGGTTTTGTTCCTCTTTTTCTTTGGTATGCCAGGGATTAGATGAAGATCCAGGTCCACAAATACGAAAGCTATATGTTAGTGTAAGTTCCTTTTCATTTCCAGTATTCTTGTTTTATATGCTTTCAAGCTCTTCTCATGACTTAAATCACTTTAGACAGAGCCTAAACTTCAAAGTGGTTAACTAGAATTTTGTGAATATTCTTCTGGATTTATTCATGCTCCAGCTGGCTGAACTCTGGCCAAATAGATTAATGGATAATCATGGGATCAAGCGAGCGATTTGCCGGGGAAAGGAGAGGCAGAGAGCGTTGTATGCGGCGAACCTTGGGAAGGAGATGGTACTTAAAGAATGATTTCTCAGCTTTTTCCTCATACCATTACTTTGCTTAATTATATTCTGCTTTATTAAAGGATCAAACAAAGATGAAGAACAGAAGGAAGCAGTTGGTACCAAGAACAGATTCGAGTTCTCGGCCGAACACAAGTTCAGTTGTTCAGCTACAACACAGTGAAGAGAAAAGAGCTGTCGATCCGAGCCCAACCACTCAACCTATGGTTGACTCTTCGCGTGACAGATCAAATGAGAAGCTAAAGGGAAGCTCAAGCTCGTGCAATCCTGCAGAGGAAGCAAGAGTGGTCAAGAGAAAGACAGAGTCCGTAGTGGCAGAGAAACAAGTCGTTCTGGCCCTGAAGAGCCAGGAACAGCCACCGGCACGTGTTATCGCAGCTCCTCGGATTCTGAACATCCCAGAGGCTTCTCTGGATCTGAACCTGCCAAGTTGACTTTCACGAAGTTGTCTTAGAAACCAAATAGACGCTGGAGATAACAACCTCTCGTCTCCTAGTCTCTCTCGTGCACTATAGTTCCAGCGATGCAGATGCTTGTTCTACAAAGCCCGGTTTATAGATGTTGTATGTGTTTCTCTGTTGGTTTATCTTGTACCGATATGTAGCTTTCTAGTTTCGCTCCTATCAAGTTACTACATTTACGTGTCTTGCTTCTATGTAGCAGATAGAGGTGTAATGTATAAAGTTACGTTTTTAAGAGCACCGCTTTTCTACTGTTGATTTTTGGGTAAATACAGTGAAATAATAGATAGAGAGAGCATAAACCCAGACCTTCAACACTTATGTAAAATTGATAGGTTATATGGAATTACCAAAATTACTAAAAAGATGTATCTAATGTATTTTAAAAAATACTTAAATATAGTATGAATAAAAATGTCAAACTAATATGAAATTTTAATATTACTATTAGGTACTTTAAAATTTCTTGTTAACCACTAGCTTACAATATAAATTAAAAAAAAAGTCAAACTAATATCAAAGATATGATTGATTCAAGATTTGTTTAAGTCAAATTTTATGATATCTATCTGTTTATTGAAAGTTTTGTAAACATATTCCCAAAGTTCCATTTTACAATAAGGAACCTGTGGAAATTGCATCTGAAAAGTAAAAGTGTGTGAAGTGCTGCAACTTCCAAATAGACAGAGATATTTTTAGATGTCACTAAATTCTATCTCTTGATCGACAAAAAGAAGCGATCTTTGGATTAGTTGTAAAATAAATTTACCTCAAACGAATTCCACACAGGTCCAAAGGTGTGTAACAGCTTTAAACACAATTGCAGATATATTCATTTTTTACATCGAACTCTTTCCGTATTAATATTTCTACGATTTTTTTTTTTGACAACTCGCGTAAATCCCAGATTTATGAAAATCTTTTATGAAAAAAAATAATGGGAGACGTGCTGAAAAAAATACAATGCGAGACGTGCTCAAAACTCCTAACGGCCTGTTAATTAGTATATGGGACAAATTCTACGCAACCAACCTGGAGGGGCATCTTTTATTAAACATTTTCCAATTTGGCCTTTTCTATTGCAAATGCAAATATTTCTATTTACTAAATTAGTCAGCGCCAACCTTCAGGTGTCGGGTGACAATTACAAAAGTTAAGCTCATAACCCTCTTTCCCTTTATGTTCGTAAACAGCTTTATATCAGAATAAGCAGTTGCTTGTTATCTTTACAATTGGAAATGGGGAGAATTCGTAGGCTTGTTTTCTTGGCCCTGATGTGGAACATTTTCATTACTAATCTCTCTAATGCTCAAAGTCAACAAGGTACTTTATGCGCCCTCTCTGCACGTATATTCCTTTTAATTTTTCTTTGAATGTAACCAAAGTTCACTTCTATTGCAAACATTGCGTGGCTATCATCTTTGGACTTATTGACATATATGCACATTGCACACGATCTATTTTTCCATTTATATCTTTCATGACATATATACCAGGTGGTAGTGGAAATAGTGGTAGAATCAAGTATGTGGATGTTGGTTTTAGCATGGGAAACATAAAGCCATATAAGTACCTTAGGTATTTTCCCGAAGGAATACGAAACTGCTATAATTTGACTGTCATGCATGGTACACATTATCTTATCAGAGCTGTGTTCATGTATGGAAATTATGATGGCCTTAACCAAAGACCAAAATTTGATGTACATCTTGGCCCTAACTTCTGGACCACTATAAATTTGCAAGATCCATTTGGTAATACCGTTGGGATTTGGGTTGATGATGGTACCATAAAAGAGATAATCCACATAACAACGTCAAACTCTTTGGATTTTTGTCTGGTTAAGACAGGAACAGCGACGCCATTCATATCAGCCTTGGAACTACGTCCCTTGAGAGAAGACAGCTACACTACTAAAGCCGGTTCACTGAAGCTTATATTCCGCCAGTATATAAGCGATTCTGGATCCGTAGTACGGTAAGTCAACTCACTTAATCTTGTTAAACTTCTTGTATAAACTAGATTTGATTTCTTATAAGCCTAAGCTATAAATCCTTAAACTAGGCAAACATGTTTAACTGATTATTGCGTCAGCCTTGGTAGTGTCGAAAAGTAGGCTGACATGATTAGTCGCCTTATTAGAATGTTAAAATATCTCACACTGGAAGTTGAAATATTTCTTTACTATATAAGGTTTATGAGCCAATCCACTCATAGCCAAAGTATCCCACATTGAAACTTGATATATTTATTAACTAGTACATAAGATTCATGGGCCAATCCACTCATAACCAATTGTTTTTGAGTTGGAAGCTCGTGATTTCTTATACGCCTAGCCGATAATTGCTTCAGCCTAGTCGTGTCAATAAGGTAATAAAACAAAAGTTTTTTCTCGAAAAAGGGTAATAAGCCGATAGGATTCATGACTCACTTATTTATCCACAATACATTAATTGTGTTAGGTACCCTGAAGATGTTCATGATCGTGTATGGGAACCAGAACCTCCGTTTGATTGGACGGAAGTAAATACCACCACCCCTGTAACTTCTACGAATGCCTTTGAAGTACCTCAACTGGTTATTTCAAAGGCCATTACAACCAAAGCTGCTGCAGGTAAGTCAGTGGACATGGGCTGGTTGGTGCAAAACCCGGATGAAGAATTTCACGTGTACGTTCACTTTGCCGAGATCCAAGCCCTAAAGCCCAATGACACCAGAGAGTTTGACATTTTGTTGAGCGGCAAAACTATTTATAAGGAATACCGTCCTTTACCGTTCATGGTTGAGACTGTACCTATCACCCCAACTAAATGCGAATTTATTTGCAACTTAGAACTCGTAAGAACTAAGGTGTCAAGTCTTCCACCATTGCTTAATGCCGTGGAGGTTTATGGGGCACTCCCGCTTCCTCAGTCAGATACACATGAAAGCGACGGTTTGTTCAACTATATATTTAGTTTATTTCTGCATAGGCTAGTAGCTTTACAAACCTTTTTATTTTTTCTCCATAAGGTTATTGAACAACCTCGAAACTTTAAAATGCGCAGTCAATGCAATCAAGAACATCCAAGCGACTTATAAATTACAAAAGATCAGCTGGCAAGGAGATCCATGTGTACCTGTACATTATATGTGGGCTGGTCTAAACTGCAGCAACACGATTCCGTCTACTCCACCAAGAATAATTTATTTGTAAGATCATCCAAGTACGATTATATATACAAAAACTTGAAAACCATTCAAACACCCAAAAAACACATTAATTCAAACACTCAATTAGTTTTGCTTGTTTAAATTAATTAATTAGTGTTTTCTAGATGCATCTGAATTAGACCTTAACTTGTTCTGAACTACACCCAGAGACTTGTCTTCTAATGGATTAACTGGGAGCATATCACGTGACATACAAGATCTTAGCCAGATACAGAAATTGTAAGTTTCATATCCCCTTTTATATTTACTTTCAACGAGAAGCTTTGGTAATAATATATATGCGCGACACTGTTTCCTTCAAAATGATATCATCTATGATAATCAATATACAAATCTTCATTTATGTGCATGTTATAGGGACCTATCAAGTAACAATTTGACGGGAAGAGTGCCTGAATTTCTCGCCAAAATGAAGTTGTTGACGGTCATGTAAGTTCCCCCTGCAAGTACGATGATTTGGCTTTAGATCATTATATTGATGCATATAATAACGTTTACATTTCAGAAATTTGAGTTGGAATAATCTTAGCGGTTCAATTCCTCAAAGCCTTCGCAACTTGGAAAAGAATGGGCTAAAGTTGATGTATGTTTCTCTTTCTCCTAAATAACCCTTTTCTATGATCACGCAACCCCCTGTTGTATATTCAGTAACATCAAAAACAAATTTGTGAGAAATGAATAGTGTTCAAGGAAATCCAAACCTCTGTTTGGATCCATCGTGCGCTGGTGATGGAAATAACAGCAAGAAATTGCTAGTGCCCATTCTTGCATCAGCTGCTTGTGTGGGCATTATTACATCTGTGATTCTTCTCTTCATTGCCTTATATAGAAAGAAGAGGCCATCCAAAGGTAAACGTGAAAAAAACGAACTCCATAACTTGAAACTTAGTTTATGATGCGTGATTATTATTTCCCAGCTCTACGCCAATCAATTATGGCGAACAAGAGAAGCTTTACTTATGAAGAGGTCACAGTGATGACAAATAACTTTGAGAGAACTCTTGGGGAAGGAGGGTTTGGAATCGTGTACCACGGACATTTACATGGTAACGAACAAGTTGCTGTTAAAGTGCTTTCAGAATCCTCAGCTCAAGGCTATAAGCAATTCAAGGCTGAGGTGCTTTAACCACAATTATATTTCTTCATATATTTAAAATGTAAATGATTAACCTTTATGACAGATTTTAGGTATTTTGTGGTTTGATAGGTAGAGCTTCTTCTAAGAGTACACCATATAAATTTGGTAAATCTTGTTGGGTATTGTGACGAAGGGCAACACTTGGTCCTCATCTATGAGTACATGTCAAATGGAAATTTAAAGGAACATCTATCCGGTAAGCTTGATTAAATATCTCATAAGTTTTGCCTGATGATTTACAAAAATAATGATGGTCATGTTTTGACACACACTCATACATCGTGTTGAGTACAGGAGAATGCGCTAACTCTCTTTTAAGTTGGGAAAATAGGCTAAGAATTGCTGGAGAAACTGCACAAGGTTCGTTACAAGTTCTTCTTAATCCCACTTGCATATTTTCTTTTTCTGATAACATTTTTCCTCGTTGCCTTTTGATGACTTTTTTAAAATTATTTTATAACTTCGTAAGTTTTTACAAAATAAATAAATAATTATGAGTTATTTTGCATATAGGATTGGAATATTTCCATATTGGCTGCAAACCACCAATGATTCATAGAGACATCAAATCTACAAATATACTTCTTGACAAAGATTTCTGAGCCAAACTTGGTGATTTCGGGCTTTCAAGATCTTTTCCACTGGGAAGTGAAAGTCATGTGTCAACAAATGTTGCTGGATCTCCAGGTTACCTTGATCCTGAGTAAGTAGTCTATTACAAAACTTAGTGAACTTAGACTATATCTTCCTTTTCCCCAATTTAGTAAACATGTTTTTACTTGTACGACAGATATTATCGAACAAACTGGTTGACAGAGAAGAGTGATATCTACAGCTTTGGAGTTGTATTATTGGAAATCATCACAAGCCAATCAGTGTTTGACCAAACACGTGAAAAATCTCATATTGGAGAATGGGTGGGATTAAAGTTAACCAATGGAGATATCACAAATATTGTGGATTCAACTCTCACTGGAGATTATGACTCTGGTTCGGTGTGGAAGGCTCTTGAGCTAGCAATGTCATGCATTAGTCCATCTTCAACTGGAAGACCAAACATGTCTCAGGTTTCTAGTGAACTAAAAGAGTGTCTCTTATCTGAGATCTCAAGGAAAGGAGGGAGACATGACGTGGACTCCAAGAGTTCTCTTGAACTGAACACAAGCTTTGGCCCTGAACAGAATCCTGATGCACGCTAGTGTTCATTCCAAGAATCTCAATCTATGGTTTGAATAACAAAAGCAGTTTTTCTGAATTTCAATTTGTTCCTTCTATCATGGTATCTTTTTTTTTTGTTGGTTCAACTCCTGACATTTGTACCTGATTAAACTGCTACATTTGCTTCATGACATGTTTTTCACGACTTAACATTTCTTTAATGAAATTAAAGTTCTTCTATTTTCTTAAAAACAGCTGATGGATCAATTTCAAATTTCTAGTATACCAAAGTAAAGTTTTAGCTTTGCATTTCCTAATCTTATTACGTTCTTAAAAGTGTCATTAGCTCTTATAAAAATTTGGAACTCTCTTTGATAATGGTTTCTCGTAGATAAAGCTCCTCGTATATATGTTTTTGGTGTTCCCTGCGGTCAATCTGCTTTCTGTAGCGTATTTTCCTCCTATTGAGATATGGAGGCATACCTGTGATACTATTGTATATTTCTTGCACAGGCAATCAAACAAAAAGCTGGAACATCAGATACAATTTTCAGGACTGAATGTAGGAAAGCCATCTTTGAAGAAAATTATTAAATTTCTTGTAAACAACTAACTAACAAAATAAAAGTCAAACTAATATGAAAATCTATGATTGATTCAAGATTTGCTTAAGTCAAATTTTATGATATCTATCTGTTAACTTGTAAGTTTTGTAAACATATTCCCAGAGTTCCATTTTACAATGAGGAACCTGTGGACATTGCATTTGAAAAAGTAAAAGTGTGTGAAAGTGCTGCAACTTCCAAATAGACAGATATTTTTAGATGTCACTAAATTCTATCTTTTTGATCGACAAAAAGAAGCTATCTTTGGATTACTATCATAAGAAGAAGTTGTAGAAAATTATTTCACCTCAAATGAATTCCACGTAGGTCCTTAGGTGTGTTGCTACGGTAAAAAGTTTTAAACAATGGCAGATAAATCCATAATAATCCATTCATAACTTACATGAAACTCTGTCCGTATTAATATTTGCATCTCGAGGTTTTTATACGATTTTTATAGAAAAAACATTTTAATCATAACTTTCCCTTCCATCGCCGTGTACCGGTTTCCATCTCAAATCCCGGGAATTGAATTGTTTCTCTGTCGGAGAATCATCATCGACCTCTGTTACTTCTCTCCGTCATCTCGTGGCCGTCCCTCTGTTCACCTTCGCCGATCCCATTTCGCCTTCCGTTTCAATCGAGACTCCCTGCGATGTGGTTGTCTCTCTTCTACTGATCTACGATTGCGCTCGGGTTGGTTAGCCTTATGAGTTAGGGTTTTTATATTGCGGAGATTGGATCGCGTTCTTCCGCGCTTGTTGATGCCGAAAACTTCTGGTCACTGTCTTCGCTGCTAGATTTTGGATCGTCCTCCGTTTTGCAAAATGGCAGCGCCAAGGCCGACGGGGAGCCAGGATCTGTTCGATACGTATTTCAGGAGAGCAGATTTGGATGGAGATGGTCATATCAGTGGAGCTGAGGCCGTCGCTTTCTTCCAAGGCTCGAATTTGCCTAAACACGTCCTTGCTCAGGTTCTTCCGCGAAATCTGCATCTATTTTCGTTATTTTGGTTGTAGCTCCTATAGGTTCTGAATTGGATCTTTGATCTGTGGGATCGTTAGCGGTAAAATGCGACGTATTTTGTCAAATTTGCTCTCTGCCGGGTGTTTACGAGGACCTCTTTATTTATTCTGGAGCTTGTAGTCCAGTTAATGTGATTCTGTTGGAGAAATCAGCTCGATCTCCACAATATTCTGGGCCGAGTACGCTAATAACTATTTTGTATTCTGTACTCCACTCCACTGCTATCAGATTAGGCAATGTGTTTGAGTAGATATGTTTAATTTATGGATTTTCTTTCTATCGGAGTGTGGAATTTGAATGCAAGTAGTATGTTGAATGATAGATTAAGTAATCTAGGCGTATCTACTTGTCTGTACTGTGCTTATATGCTTAGAACATTGGACGCAATGGGGGAATATCTGCAGATTCGATTGGATATTAGCTTTTCTGAGCGCCAACTGTATTTAATTTTTCTTTGGATTGTTAATATTTTGAATGTTTTGTCCATCCCTTGTAGGTGTGGTCCTTTGCAGATGCAAAAAAGGCTGGTTTCCTTGGTCGAGCGGAGTTTTATGATGCTCTAAAGTTGGTAACAGTGGCACAGAGTAGGCGGGAATTGACTCCTGAGATTGTGAAGGCTGCAATCTACAGTCCTGCTTCAGCCAACATTCCTGCTCCCAAAATAAATCTTGCTGCAACACCCTCTCCACAGCCGAGGGCAGTTAATCCTGCTACACAAGCTCAGGGAGTTACATCACAGCCATCAGTAGCGGCTGGTATGAGAGGGCCTCAAACGGGTGGAATTGTAAGCACTAGTAACCAACAACTAGTTCCAGGCCAGCAGAATCAATTAACTGGGATACCTCCATCTCAACCACAGCAAAACTTTCAAAGCAAAGGTATGCCAGCTGGTGGGACTAATGCACCTCGTCCTGCAAACCAACCCATGCCATCTAATTGGCTCAGCGGCAGAAGTGTTGGGCCCTCTGGGCAAGTGAATCCTCAAATTCCTTCGAGTCAGAGTGCATATGGTTTGACAGCACCTAATTCAAGTGCCAACCATATACCACAACCACATATGACACCTGCAGTAATAAGCTCTACAACAGCCAGACCGCAAGAATCAGCGCTTGTGCACAAGCCCCAAGATGTATCTGCTCCTTCAGGTGCTCCATTCAAGGATCCCAATGTTATGGCTGCATCAGGAAACGGGTTTGCCTCTGACTCACTTTTCGGAGATGTGTTTTCAGGTTCTTCCATACAACCAAAACAAAACAGTTTGGGAACTACATCGACGACGGGCATCTCATCTGTTTCTCCTGAGGTTGCACAGTCTGTAGTTAGACAAAGTCCAATCCAACAGCCTGTTGGTGTTCAGAATCAGCTTACTGGAAAATTAGGGCAGCCGTTTGTTCCGCCCGGTGGAGCGTCTGGTACAATTGGTTCTACTGTTGGAGTTGGAAGTTCAGCTTCCAGTCACTTGACCCAGCGTCCGCCCCAGCCCCAGCCCCGGCCACAACACCATCCCCCTTCCCAGTCCCAAGCTCCTTGGCCAAAAATGACTCCAGCTGATGTCCAGAAATATACCAAGGTATTTGTGCAAGTTGACACTGATAGGGACGGAAAGATCACTGGGCACCAGGCTCGAAATCTTTTTTTAAGTTGGAAGCTCCCGCGAGGTAGGCTACATTTACTTTTCTGTTACTTCGTCTATTAACAGTGGCTTAGTTTCAGGCTGAGCTTGTTGTTATAATAGTTAACGGATATTACTTAAGGGACGTTTCTGTAGTTCTGTATATTTGTTTGCACAGTATTGATCAACTGCCTATTTTTGGTGCATCCTGAGTATTTCATGTTTTGGTCCACTTGTAGACTTTAAGTCAATAGTGATTTTAATATTGTCTCAAAAGAAATTGTTATACTTATTAATATCGTCAAGCATGGGAAATATTGAAGACCGTGTTTTATGTGTTTCTCAATAATGTTCCCTGGTATTGCAGAGGCTTTGAAGCAGGTATGGGATTTATCTGATCAAGATAATGATAGCATGCTCTCCTTGAGGGAGTTCTGTATCGCGGTCTATCTAATGGAGCGTTACAGAGAGGGCCGACCTCTTCCCCCAGTGTTCCCAAGCACTATAATACTTAGTGAGAGCATGTTTACCCCTCCTGGTCAACCTGTGGCACCACATGGCAATGCATCCTGGGGACATCCACAGGGTATCATTGCATCACAAAAACATTTTTCTGTATTACTTGCATTATTTTTCTGAAGTAGGCAGATTCATTTCTGGACAAAATATTGTAGGTTTCCAACATCAGGGGCCCTCGAGACCACCAGCTATTCCCAAAGGAAAGCCTCCAAGGCCGGTTCCTCTCTCTCCCAGTGATATGGACCAGCCCACTCAGCCAAAGCGTAAAATGCCTGAGTTGGAGAAACATCTGGTGGATCAACTTAGCAAAGAGGAGCAGGAGTCACTCAACTCGAAATTTGAAGAAGCAACGGCTGTTGATAAAAAGGCACTCTCTGGTTTCTCTCTGATTTTAATTTGCTATTGTGCTGAATTGATTTGGTTAGCGTGAGTACTTTTTGCTGTTTTACCTAAAGGTGTCTTTTCCCCCCTCTTCATATGGCACTTATTTGAAAGAGTTGTAGGTTTAGGTAGTCAAATTTACGATTAGAAGCTTCCAAATTCTTTCAACTTATTCTTGGCAGCGAACCTTAATCAAACAGCCTCCGAGAGCTATGCATAATTGAATAAACTTGTTTTGATCCTACTTATGAAAATTTGTGTGCTTTTCACGCATATGATTGATTATCCATTTAGTATTTATTGACGTAACCTAGAACTTTAGGCGACCGCGTATCCTTTATTCTAAATCATTATATTTTGGTCTTCAGGTGGACGAACTTGAAAAAGAAATAGCCGATTCCAAGCAGAAAATTGACTTCTTCCGTACTAAGATGCAGGAACTTGTAAGTGTCTCTGTTATTCAGCTTGGTCTTTTCTTTTTAAAATTGTTGTCTGTAATTCTTTATTTGATAACCAAAAAGAGGCAATTGTTTGACATTATGATTGTATACTTTTTTTGCTGTTTGATCAGGCTCTATTCTGAAATGATCTCAAATGTTCTAAGAATATTGTTGTTATTAGGCCCCTCCTTATTAGTACAAAAGATCACTGTGTTTCTATAACCTCCTCCCTTTGGTTCCTTGGGTGACAGGTTTTATACAAGAGCAGATGTGACAACCGTTACAATGAGATTACGGAGAGAGTCTCGGGTGATAAACGTGAGGTATGCAGTTTCTGCTGCACTGTGCCTCTTCTATAATGGTATTAGAGATCCTGTTTGTTACTTGACATAATCAACATGTAATCCAGCTTGAATCTCTAGCAAAAAAATATGAGGAGAAATACAAGAAGTCTGGCAATGTTGGCTCCAAATTGACGATTGAAGAGGCCACATTCCGCGATATACAGGTAGTTTAGAATTATCATCTCAGGGACATGGCTTACTTTGAATTGTCTGCAAGCTGGATGTCTCCTTAAAAAATATGATAAACCTCCCTTTAAATTTCAGGAGAAGAAAATGGAATTGTACCAGGCAATAGTTAAATTTGAAGAAGGCAAGCTTGATGATAATGTTGTCAAGGTAAATCACGCGTGCTATTTGGTTGATTGAATGTGATTGGTAGTCGTAGTTTACTGAGTGTTCTCTTATAGGAGCGCACTGAAAACATCCAATCAGGCCTTGAGGAACTGATCAAAAATTTGAATGAGCGCTGCAAACAATATGGAGTACGTGGCAAACCCACTTCTCTGGTGGAGCTTCCTTTTGGTATAGATTTACCCCTTCTCCTCTCAAGTTAAATATTATATTCTCTTGATCAGTGGCAGAAATGGTTACTACATTGCTTGGCGTTTAATTTTAGAACTTTGTAATGTTATTATTCAAGAATTGATTATATGGTGATCCTTTGGACAACACGAAACTCAGTTAATATTCATGGGTTGTCCTCGGCTCTTACAGGTTGGCAGCCTGGAATCCAGGAATGTTCTGCTGATTGGGATGAAGATTGGGATAAGCTGGAGGAGGAAGGTATACTTGCAGTGTAGTGATTTTTTTGTGGCTTTATATTTTTGTTTTTGGGTGATCTATCTTCCAGCATAGGCTATGGATTTTGCATTTGACCACTTGGACTTTGCATTCTAATATTTGGATACTTCCAGGGTTCACCTTCGTCAAGGAGCTTACACTTGATGTCCAAAATGTCATAGCCCCACCAAAGGAAAAATCGTCCTCTTGGAAGAAGGAAGAAACTGTTTCATCCTCAGATGTATACTCTAAAACAGAGAAAAAGCCAAGCAGTGGTGAAGAGGCTTCTGACAAGGAACCAGCATCTGAACAGTCAGATGGTAAAACGTCCGACGTTAATGCTACAGATAAAAACGGATCTCTGGATGACTCTCATGTAAGAAAGGGCATTGAAGCTGATGGTTCACCCCGAACTAAAGATACAACGAGGTATATTTTTTTGCGTTAGACCTAATATGTTCCTACACATCTCAGGTGGTTCATGATGTCTGCATTTTCCTCAATTTTGTTTTCAGTGAAAATGGTCATGATGGTGGTGAATCTCCTGCTTCTGCTGGCAAAACTGTACATTATGACTCTCACGATGAGACAGATTCAGTTTCAAGCGTTAACCCTGACAAGGTAAAATGTGCTCTACTTATCATTCTGCAGAGTGCAGACACCGAATTTTGGGGTTTTTTTGGGTTTGATAATATGTATCTCTTAATTTTAATATGGCATTCAAGAAAAAGTCGGTCTCGTTATGCTTCTTCATCTTAAACTAACCGTTATGAGTGTTGTGTGTTTACACAGGACAAGGATCATGAGAAGCATGATGGTGGCTTTGGATTCGGGTTCGGATTTGATGACTTCAGCATTAAGCCTATAAAAACGGGTTCCACCATTGCAAATGACTTCCTCCCTCCTAAGTTATCTATATTTTCCGAGTCTGTCCCAAGCCCCCCGGCAAATGCAAACGATGCTTTCACCGCAAAACCTTCCTTGTTTGCTGATTCTGTTCCGAGCACTCCAGCGACAAACACCGCCTCTTACCCAGGCCAGAGATCGTACTTTGATGACTCAGTTCCAAGCACTCCTGCTTACCCAGGAAACTTGTTCGCCGATAAGAAATCCTACTTCGATGATTCTGTCCCGAGCACTCCTGCTTACCCAGGCAACTTGTTTCCCGAGCAGAAATCCTCCTTCTTCGATGACTCTGTCCCGAGCACTCCTGCTTATAGCACTTCTGATTTTGGTGGAAAGCCATTTGCATCAGAGACTCCTCGTTCAGACAACTTGTTCCCAGGAAGAAGCCCCTTCATGTTCGACTCTGTCCCAAGCACACCTGCTGCACACGATGACTACTCTTCCAACAGCTTCTCCCGTTTCGATTCATTCAACAGCAACAACAACGACGCTTTCTCTCTGTCCCGCACAGACTCGATGCGCAGCACAAGCGAGCCCGACCCATTCGCTAACAGGTTTGATTCTTTCAACTATCGGAGCTATGATTCCTTCAATGCACAAAGCTATGATTCATCTAGCAACAACAACGCATCCGAGACACCTAAAGCCTCGTTGACGAGATTCGACTCCATGGGTAGCACCAGAGACGGCGACTACAGTCATGGGTTTGGGTTTGACGACCACGACCCGTTTGGATCTACTGGACCATTCAAATCAACGACAGCAGAGACACCACGGAGTTCTGATAATTGGAATGCTTTCTAGCCATAAGCCACTGGTGATACAGATATGATCGCATATCATATAGTTTGCTACTCTTTTTTTTTAGTTCGAGTTACCAGTCGGAAGAGGTATTATATGTGTCTTATTTGTTGGTTTCCCCTTCTGCTTGCTTCATTTGTTTTGTTATTGTTAATATATAATAGTCCTTTGCCATTTTTCTCTTCTGGATTTTCTTTCTTTTTTTGCTGAGAGTGATCTTTTGGTCCCTGAGTAGTGTTTATTTTTACCATTTCATTGTCTCTCTTTTTGTTATGATGATTGATGAATAATGAATTTTATTGTTCCTTGTGAAACAGAAGTTCATATTGTATCTTTGTAATCGTTTGGATCATTTTAAGATGGTTGTTATATTATATTGATTGGTATTTCTGGGAATATTTCCATGGTTAGTTTCTATGTTTTCAAAGAAAGAAAAAAATGATATATGATAAATTGTTATCACATCTTGAATCAAGTGTTGATTTGTGTCATAAAATTGTTCATTGTAATCATATCAAAGATATGTAGTGCCATCATTGTATCATTACCGGTTCAAGTCATAGTTTTATTAAGCTGTTCAACTTTGAATTTTAGCATTGTAGTAGTGAAGCTGATCAATATAAAACTTATTAATCTATACAACTTCTCCAGGCGGTAATATTGATTGATCAGATGAAATACAAATTGAGGAATCCTTATCGTTCTGGTTACAAAATACAAATCTTCCTGACCAAAACAAAACAAACCAAAAAAGAGCGAGAAACGCAGATCGAGGGGATTTGGCGCGTGGGGCACACACTCTCTCTCAAGTGTCAATCCAGTCACCATCAAAGCTGAAGGAGCAAAGTTTTAATTCAACCCCTTCGGCCATGAAGAGGACGAAACCACGAGGTCCACCAAATTCCTGCAAAATTCCAAAACTTGATCTCGAAATATCCACATTTTATTTATCCGCCACTACGCTGAAGCTCCTTTCTCGTCGTTATTGGCGTATTCACTAGCTTCTCTCATGTTCCTCTGCTTCTGCCCTTGCCACGTACCTCACTTCCTCATGAGTCAGCTATCTCCGGCCACCGGAATCTCTCCCCGCCTCCACTGCTCCGTTGATTGGAGTTCCGATGGACGATTACTTCCCTTCGGATTCGGATTTCGGAGAAACGAGGTCCCGTTTAAACGCCGCTTGAAATTTGTGATCAGAGCGGAGCTCTCTGAGGCCTTTTCTCCGGATTTAGGTTTGGATTCTCAGGTTATTTGCTTCTCTCGACTTCCTTCCTTTATAATCATCACTACATGTTCGATCAATTGACTGAGAGAGACAGAGTTTGCTTGAACAATCGTTCTCATCATCTATGCTTCCTTTATTTGCTGATTAGTATTATATATTCTTCTGGTCCCTGCAATTTTGACTGCTGCAGACGTGATTGAAATTTTCTGAGGATCTTTAGATTATCGAATCATTCCGTCATCATTTGCTTAGCATAGTAGCTGTCGCTAATTTGTTTTAGTTTTGCAACTCTGAAGTCTGCTCACTAACTTTGTTCACTTTGATATTTTAAGGCTGTGAAATCTCGTGATACGTCAAACTTGCCTTGGATTGGTCCAGTTCCAGGCGATATAGCTGAGGTCGAGGCATATTGTAGAATCTTTCGATCAGCTGAGCGACTTCATGGAGCTTTGATGGAGACATTGTGCAACCCTTTGACTGGTGAATGTCGAGTACCGTATGATTTTTCACCCGAGGAAAAGCCATTGCTGGAGGATAAAATAGTATCAGTGCTTGGTTGTATATTATCCCTTCTAAATAAAGGAAGAAAGGAAATTCTCTCAGGGAGGTCATCTTCTATGAATTCGTTTAGTTTGGATGATGTAGGGGTTGCGGAGGACACACTTCCACCACTTGCCATTTTCAGGGGTGAAATGAAGCGGTGTTGTGAAAGCTTACACATTGCTCTCGAGAATTATCTGACGCCAGATGATGAAAGAAGTGGAATTGTTTGGAGGAAGTTACAGAAGCTTAAAAATGTCTGCTACGACGCAGGTTTTCCACGCAGTGATAATTATCCTTGCCAAACGCTTTTCGCAAATTGGGACCCTATTTATTTGTCAAATATGAAAGATGATACTGATTCTTATGAGTCTGAGGTTGCGTTTTGGAGGGGAGGACAGGTAACAGAAGAAGGATTGAAGTGGTTGATTGAAAAAGGATTTAAAACAATTGTTGACTTGAGAGCCGAAAACGTGAAGGATACATTCTATCAGGCGGCTCTGGATGATGCAGTTTCCCTTGGGAAAGTTACAGTGGTGAAAATTCCAATTGAAGTCAGGATGGCCCCTCTAGCTCAGCAGGTCGAGCTGTTTGCTTCTATTGTAGCAGATAGTAGCAAAAGGCCGATATACGTTCACAGTAAGGAAGGTGTTTGGAGAACTTCTTCGATGGTTTCCAGGTGGAAGCAGTACATGACACATCCGGTGACTAAAGAAATTCCAGTTTCAGAAGAGTCAAAGCTCCAGGAGGTTTCTGAAACGAATCTTGGATTGAGTGTTGTAGTATCTGGTAAGGGTGTGCCTGTTAATGTCTCTGAAATCAGTGAGGTTGACGGTAGATCTACTTCAAACCAGAGCAAAGAATCTGGAAGCAGTGAGGGAGATATTTCTGCATCAGAGTTTAATATGGTGAGTGATCCTCTTAATGCTCAACTTCCACCGGGTAATATTTTTTCAAGAAAAGAAATGTCTAAATTCCTGAGGAGCAAAGGTGTTTCTCCTGCTGGTTATCTTAGTAGTCAGTCCAAAAAACTGGGTATAGTGCCAACTCCGCAAGTTTCATATACTGGAGTGACAAACGGAAACCAGATATTTGATAGAGATACCAATGGGACCCTTCTACCTGTGAGTTCTCAAAGTTTAGATATTGGCAATGGGAAGTTTTCAAATGGGAATGTGCATGCTTCTGACAACACCAATACAAGTATATCGGATAACAGGGGAAATGGCTTCCCTGCAGAGCCTGTTGTTGTGCCTCCAAGTGATAACTTAAGTCGCACTGTAGTTTCCCAACCTGTTCGAGAGTCTCAGAGAAATAGTGCTTCTTCGTCGGATTCCAGTGATGATGAAGCTATTGAGGGAAATATGTGTGCTTCTGCCACTGGTGTAGTGAGGGTGCAGTCGAGAAAGAAAGCAGAGATGTTCTTAGTCCGAACTGATGGAGTCTCTTGTACAAGGGAAAAGGTGACAGAATCCTCTCTAGCCTTCACACATCCAAGTACTCAACAACAAATGCTTCTTTGGAAAACTACCCCAAAAACTGTCTTACTGCTGAAGAAGCTCGGGGAAGAACTGATGGAGGAAGCTAAAGAGGTAAACACTTTGCATTTCAAATCTTAGAGATTATATATATATCTCTGTTGTGCATTAAAGTTTCCTCCCGTGAAAAGAAGTTTTTCTTTTAAAATTTGTTTTCAGGCTGCATCTTTCTTGTATCACCAAGAGAATATGACTATTCTGGTTGAACCTGAGGTGCATGATGTATTTGCCAGGATTCCAGGGTTCGGATTTGTCCAGACCTTTTACATTCAGGACACGAGGTACAAGAATTAGTTAACTGCGCATCAGCTAGACTAATCATCAACGACTCAATCATGACTAACTTTCTTTTACTTATTTTGAATACCAGCGATCTCCATGAAAGGGTTGATTTTGTGGCATGCTTAGGAGGGGATGGGGTGATTTTGCATGCATCAAACTTGTTCAAAGGAGCTGTCCCTCCCGTTGTTTCATTTAATCTGGGGTCTCTCGGATTCCTCACTTCACATCCAGTAAGCCTTTCGACATGTTCTATTTCTTAATCAATGCCTTAGTATGTCTTTTCTTTTGACAGCTTTTTTGTTTTTTGTTCCGTTTAGTTTGAAGACTTCAGGCAAGACCTTAGACGGGTCATTCATGGGAATAACACACTAGATGGGGTTTATATAACTCTTCGAATGCGTCTTCGTTGCGAAATCTATCGTAAAGGCAAAGCAATGCCTGGTAAAGTGTTTGATGTTTTGAACGAGATCGTTGTTGATCGTGGATCCAACCCCTACCTTTCTAAGATCGAATGTTATGAGCACGACCGCCTCATCACTAAGGTTTCTACCCAAAAGAGTTTTTTTCCCTTTCCTAGATAAAAAACTGCTAAATCTGATAAGCAAGTGAGAATACTCTTAAATTTTGTTCGTGTCTGACGAAAATGCTATTACAGGTACAAGGCGATGGAGTTATAGTAGCGACTCCTACAGGAAGTACTGCTTATTCTACAGCAGCAGGAGGCTCCATGGTAAGCTAATTACTTACTTCTAAAATCTTCATTGCATACCAAAATAAACTTTACCTGAGATATTATCAATGGCATCTCTGGGAACTATCATGTCATTCATAATACAATTTTAGTAAAATATTGAGTACGCAAACCTTTTGTAATTCTTTTCTTCTATTTGACATTTATATAATGCGAAAATCGCAGGTGCATCCAAACGTTCCTTGCATGTTGTTCACTCCAATCTGCCCACATTCCTTGTCATTCAGACCAGTTATACTTCCAGATTCTGCAAAACTCGAATTAAAGGTAAAAAGACTCTAAACATAACCACAACTCAATAGTTTTCGTCAAATCTGTAGAGCAACAATCTTTTTCCTGTTAAGTAAGTAATTAAATCCACCCAAGAAAAGTTGTAAAGTTCATGAGTGGAGACCAGCATTATGGAAATGCTCGCTAATGTTCTCTAAACAAAAACAGATCCCAGATGATGCTCGAAGCAATGCATGGGTTTCGTTTGATGGAAAGAGAAGGCAGCAACTGTCGAGGGGAGATTCGGTGAGAATTTACATGAGCCAACATCCACTCCCAACTGTCAACAAATCTGATCAAACCGGTGATTGGTTTAGGAGCCTAATCCGTTGCTTAAACTGGAACGAGCGCCTTGATCAAAAGGCTCTTTGATGACTATTCATTATCAACACATACATAAAGTCAAAAGCACAGAGGGTACAGGTCTGTATGTTTCAGCCCTCCCTAGTTACTGTACAGATTCATAATCTCTATAATACATAAATCGTTATTCATTTACTGGAAAAAAATGTTTGTTTTTTCTTCCTTTGTCAAATTTTTCCCCTCAGGAAATAAGATGATTACAGAGTACATTCAGTAGATTAGTTAACTAGAATAATATGAGGAGTAACACCTCTTTATAATATGACTGAGTATCACCTCTTTGCATCCAGAGCAAATTAGGTAACTAACAGAAGTACATAACTCAAATGACATTTATATCCTCAAAAACTTTTTTTATGAGTCCCTTTTTTTCCTTTTTACGAACCAAATAGTTTTTTTCCTTTTTACGAATCAAATAGTTATAATCAATAGAGTTTTATGAAAAAAAAACCTCAAAGTAAATTATTTTTGCAAACCAAATTCTTAGTTAAAAACTATGCAAATGAAATCCTAGAATCAAAAGAACCTCGTAATATAACAATTATGAATATTTGTGACGAAATAGAAAATGATTTTGTGCAAAAAACTCGCCAACTAATTTTTTTTTGCAAATTTAACCCCAACATAAAAAATATGCAAACCAAACCTACAAATGATTATTAATGTAAGACTTTATAGTAATATGGAAGATGAAAGACTTCATAATAATAAAACCCCTCAACTAAACATTGATTGGATAGAAAACCCTCAATTATAAATTTAATGATATAACTCCTCATATTAAAGATTATTAATGTAAGTTCCCCTCCGTGAAAACAGAAGAAACATAGTTAATTTTAAAACATAGTAACGTTTTAAGGAAAAAAAGGCACACATACACTTAAACGACATGTTAAACAACTGTATGAAGATTTAACAGATTTTAAAAAGATAAAATTCTTCTCCTTTTCATAGGAAGATCAGTGAAGAGAGGTTAGCACATACATTTTCCTTGATTTGTTATTTCTATCGCATAATTTTATTCCTACTCGGAAATAGTAGTTTCTTTTTGCTTGAATTTAGAGACTTCCTTACGGGAATTGTCAGTTTAAATAAACTTGTTTGGCAATACTCAATGCTGCATTGATCTGTTAGATTAGGCAAATTCTGTTAATTCTGGAACCACAAATTTGTTCTTCTGGGAAGGAGAGGCGTAACTTGGGTAGCCTGGGGGAAATTGTCACAAATCTGAAGGTGTTTGTAAGAGTGTTGAGTGTGAAAGGGAATGAACAAGTCTTTGTTCTTGTATTATATTCTGTATTATTTTGTTGCGATTTATAACTTAATAGAATTAAAGAAAATGTGATAATAAGGATAAGCTATAGCAGATTAGCAGTTGCAGAACGAATAAGTGCTAAAGGTGCTGAAGTTTCAGTCTAAGACTTGATACCGCTTTTGAGATCACTCGAGGTAAGTAGGGGTTTAGAATGATATTGGGTGATTTGATTTCTAGAGAGTTTTTAGAATTATACAAGTTCAAGTGATTTTAGTTAAACACGTGCTTTTTCAACAATTGATCTATCTGATTTTCATTACTATATGCTTTATGATTTTAGTTCAACACTTTCAAGTGATTTTAGTTCAACAAGTGATCTATCTGATTTTTTCTTTATGCTTTTCTCTAATGTTGAAGTGAGCTATTGAGAATTTTTTTTTTTTTTTTTGGTCGAAAGCTATTGAGAATTATTATCTTACTAGGAGAGAATCCGCGCAATGCGCGGGTTTTTTGTTTTCTGAATTTATAGTTTCTGACTTTTTTTGTTGTTGTTAACAATATCTTTTTTGGAAATTTAATGAAAAAAAAAAATTTTGGTAGAATCTCATATTTCTCTTAAACAATATTAAAATGGAAATCCAAAATTAGAATAATCCTAAACTTTATCGAAACTTTTTTTTTAGAAACATAACTTCAACTTTAAAAGCTTAAATAAACCGTTCAAACATCGAACAGAACAATGAGATTTATGGCATATATGTTTCGCTCCGGTGGATAGTAATATGAATGTCTTTGATGAAACATGGAAAAAACTGAAATTTCACCCCACTTAACAAAATCAAAAACCTTAACAAGATTTTATTTAACCAGTCTTTCACTCCACTTGACAAAATAAGAAACCTTTACCTCTTGGCACTTTTATCGACTTTTGGTATTCTAAGCTAACTACTTTTATTAAATTAAACTATTTGTGCCCCATATTATTTTGTAGATGATATATATAAATATTAGAGATCTTTAACTATTTCCAAAACAGAAAACTTTATTCATCAAGTGGAAAATAATTTATATAATGATTTTGTTACGTTGATCCATTAAAATAATTTACTTTTTCCTCCGCTTTGTGCAAATGCTTCTGCAACTCTCCGGTTTCTTCCTTGTACTGTAACAGTCAAGTGAAAGAACAGTCAAAAAGGGAGTCACTTTTACAATGAACCAAAAAGGGTTTTCTTCTGTTCTTACAGCAAGTTGTGATGACATCTGCTACACCACAGCTCTCGAAGAAAGTACTGTCTTTAACAGATGGAAACATAAGCTTCGAGAGTGCTCTCATCTCTCTTAAACCAATCCTCATAATTGCAGCCTACATATATAAGTTTTCAAAAAGCTGAGACCTTTAGGAAACTACTTAAGCCTCTCTTAGAAGGAAACTACTTAATCTTACCTTTGTGTTATTCCCCAAACCGTCCACAAAGCCCGCTGCGATAGCCACTACATTCTTCAAAGTCCCACACAACTCTACTCCTTCAACATCATGGACCTATTTCAAACACAAGAGAGTCTTATAGCCAACTTCAAGCCATTCAAGAACCAAGAATGAAACTAAAGAAAGGATGAAACTTTCTTACCGCTGTGACCATAAAATAAGGAGTACTAAACAGCTGAACCCATGTCTCAGCTATTTCTCTACTCTCTCTATACCCAACCGTTGCTTCACTAAACTTCTCCATAGCAATCTGTATTATTAACAGCATCAGTCACAGCAATGTGAAAAACAAGAACTTACCAAAAGGTCTCCAACTTGTGGATCAATGTAACAAACCTGGTTGGCGATGTTTGCGCCCATAAGAACACAACAGTTGATACCAAGTTGCTTGGAGATGAGACTGGAGATCATACAAGGACCTTCCTTCTTCACTTCCATTCCTTTCACAAGAGAGATAGCCTCAACTTCTCCTGTTATCTCTCCACTTAGTTTCTTGCATATACCATCCATGAACTGATGCGGCGTGACAAAAACCAACATGTTTGCTTCCTTCACTGCATTGGTTTTAAACTTAAACACCATCAATTTTCAAGAACCTAACTGGATAATCTAAAGGAGAACAAAAAGTTCATCACTGACCTGCATTTTCAAGGTCAGGATCTGCAACAACGTTTCTTCCTAGCTTGATACCAGGAAGGTACTTGACATTTTCCTGATCAAGAAAACAGAGCAAATGGTTACAGAACCAACCAAGAATCGGAAAAAAAAATCTAACAAGATCATCCCTTTTTTTACTTACATTGGTCTTGTTGATTACATCAGTGAGCTTCTCACCATTTGGTAGAACCTCCTCAAACACCCACATCCTCACTTCATCTGAAAATTTGTTCAAAAAGACTCATCAAACTATTGGCATTTTGGAATTCAAATAAATTTGGTATCTTGCAATGAAAATGAAAGACGAAAATTAAAACGAAAAAAAAAAGGAAGATGCAAAACGACGTCGTTTTGGCGTTTGGAAGGAAAAAAAAAGAAGGCCCCACGTGTCCCGAACAGGAGAGTGTCCAAGCCTTATTACTTATGTAGATTATTATATAGATTATAAATATTTTAGATATTAGTTTTATATTTAGTGAGAGAATATTAGAGATAGGAGTACATATTTCTCGGACAATATACTTTAAAACTTGTTGACTGTTTTTTTTTTTGGAATACCAATGGCAACAACATTGGCAAGTGGTCAACGCCGTTCAAAAGAATTTATCTTCCAGTTCTTCCCAGCACAAAAGCGAAGCTTTGAATGGTAAGCAACTTGTTCTAAATGGATGGGATAAGAAAATAGAAGCAATGTATTTCCTATCTCTTTTATCTAGTGAAAAGATTTCAGCTAAAAAACAAAAAAAAAAACTTAGTTACAATAAATATATTTTTTTGTAAGTTTAAGAATATTCTTGGAAACAGGAATTATAGTAATCAAATAGGTAACCATGAAAAGAATTATGTTTGGTAATGAATGTAACAGAATTAATTAAATTACAAAACAAAATAGTTCAGAAAAATTGTGGAGATTGACACATCAGCAAATTGATGGTACTTTGAGAACATCATGTCTTAATTTGGAGACTTCTCTAATGCATTCAAACATCTATACATTAAAACCTCTACAAAGTAATATTTTAAGATTTTGAAAATTTATTATCTAACAAAAAAATTACTTTATCGATCAAGTTATATTTATTAATTTGTAGAAATATTTTATATTCATAATCTTTGAAAATTATTCTTTATATCATGATGTATTAAGAATTTAGAAGAATTTATTTTTAATATGACATGCATAAACTTAAAATTATGGTTAAATTTGATGGATATCGTAAAAAACATACATAATTAGCTTATTTGAATCTATACTATATAAAAGTTGAGGCTATAAGCCTCTAAGAGCGTCCACATAGGATTTAAAAACGCGATATGATTGGTCCACATAAGTATTTCCTAGATTAAGAAAGTTTCCGAATTTTAAACAACCAATAGTATCAGTCCACATCATCACATAAAATTAGCTATTTGTTCAATTAGTTAAATTCCTTTTTATATTTTTATATTTTAAGAAAGTTTCATAATTCAAAGGTAAGCAATAGGAAAGTTTCCAGAATTTATAAGTGTAATATTAGTAGAGATATGTAATAAATAAGAAAATTATACCAACAATATCATTATATATCAACATCTAAAATTATTTATATTTGAATTTTTTTTCATTAATTTACTTTTTATTTTTATCAGCAGAATTGTAAAAAAGGAGATTTTCCTTTAAGAAAAAAGAAAACAAATAATAATACTATTGGAAATTAAATAAGGAAACAAATAAGGAAATTTTCCTTTAGCTAATAAAAATTAAAAACCCTAACACACTTTTGCCATCTATTTCTTATATATACCAAGAGTCATCTCCTCCCTTTTTAACACCTACAAAAGCTACAATTGTATTAACTGGATTTTGATCAAATGTAGCTTACATGAATAAACATATGTTCACGTCAGAGCTTGATATAAGATCAAACAAATCCAACATCGAGAAACCACCTGGAAACAAGATGGAGGGATATATATTGAAGACAAGATACTTTGACATCACATATTGAAAGTTCACATAGATCGATCAATTCTTCTAAAGGATATGTAGTGGATTAATGAAAAATCATGAAGCAAAGGAATGATTGAAACAAAGACAATGGGCATCACACTGAAGGTATACATGTCCTTCTGTGAAATAAATAAATTCGCTTGCTTTATTTCGAATATTATCTGGTCTATGGTGTTCAATTGATTTTCTTTGTATTTTGATAATGGAAGCACATCCAATTAATTAATAAATAAGTTACATTACCACAAAAAATTCAAAGGACTATGAAGAGAACAAGGAATCGAAATTACCAAAGTGTAGATTAAATCAAAAGTGAATTGTTGCTCCTAAATTAGTAAGCTTTCGATGGGGAAAATATATTGATTATGAAGAAAGAAAAAAAATCAGAATAGTGATTACATGACACAAATTGAAAGGAAAAGGCAAACACAATAGAAGGCTGTATTTTGTTCTTTTTCTATTTTTCTATTTTTGTTTTTTCAATGTTTTGTAATATTTACATATTCATGTGTTTATAAGTAGTATTTTTAAAAGATGCCACTTGAAAGAGAAGGAATATAAACAAAAGTAAATTTATGAAAAACAGAATAAGATAAATTTCTTCTCATTTTAGTATTTACATATGACATTCAAAGGGCCTGTTTTGGATATATTTTGTTCAATAAGTCATTATAGCTTGATTTTATTTTCAGTTTTTCAGGTAACGAAATTGTGTTTTATTTAATTATAATTTATTCTAAATTTAAGAGGAATAGAGCCATGCAGAATTTTAAGGGTCGAGAATAACCTACAGAAATAAGAGAAAAAAAAATGAAGAAAAAAGTAGACACAAAGAAGAAGAGTACCAAGATAAAACCGAAGAATAGCGAAAAAAAAGATATTGAATTGCGAATACAAAATAGAGACCAAAGAAGACAAAGATGAATAAGGAAAAACCATATTAAAAACTTGTGAAGAACAATTTGAAGAGGAATTCGAACAAGAACGAAGGAGAAGAAACCTAACAACAACAACAAAAAAATTGCGAAGACCAATCTAAAGAGGAAATAAAATAAGAACAAAGGAGAAGAAACCAAATCAAAACAAAACAAAAAAGAGAAAAAAAAAGAAGAGCGAAGACGAAGAAGAGCAAACGCGAAGATGAGTGAAAATGAAGAAGAAATCAAATAAGACCAAAGACAAAGAAGAAAACAAAACATAAGATACTGAAAAAGAATGAATCAAAGAAAATTAAAAAAAACTTTAAAACAACAGAAGAAGAAAATGAAGAACAATTATGTGTGTCGACTAGCTTCTCTTCATTTAGGTTTTAGGTTTTATAACCATTGAAAACTTACCAAAATATTAGTTTATCATCTAGCTTAAATTTATTACATACAAATATTGTTATTTATAGCATTTTAAGTTCTAACATAACCAACTGAAGTTATTTTAAATAAACATCATGTTACATACAAATATTGTTGACATCTAATTTTAAGAATTTCACTAAACATATTTAAAAATATATTTCTGTTTAGAAAATGACTAACACGTCACAATAGTTCATAAATTAACATTACATTTTACAAGTAAGTTTAGTGATAAAGTAAGTTTGTCCTATTATAATGATTTGAATATCTTCAAGTAAGTTTTGGTCATTAGACATATACAAACATTTTTGTTACCGGGATATGATCTAAACAATATTTTTGTATGTCAAGATTTGATCTCAATACGATATTGATATATCTAAAAACTTTTGTTTTCCAGAGAGTTTTGGTATTGAAATATTGATAAATTTTAATTGTTGATTTTTGCAGTTTAAAAAAAAAATTAAAATATATTTTAAACTGATTTAAGATACAGACCCGCGCGTGCGCGGGTGAAAGTCCTAGTATTTATATAAAATTTGATACATGATAAAAATTAAAATTTTAGAAGAAACTATAGCTACTAATATTTTACTATATGAAGTTGGATGCACATTATATGGTTGCTGACACATATGATAATTTTAACTTATGAGATATTGCCATGTGTCTAACGTCGTTGTGATGATGATATGCGTTAATACATAAAAAATTAGAAACAAAAAATAGAACTGGAAAGTTAACAAAATAGTTGTCAAGTAACTAAACAAATAATAAACACGAAATTTTATAATAATCTAATCTTCTAATTTCCAATAGTAATCTCTAGTTTTCCAATTTTTTTATCAGCACTGTTACGTATTTGTTCAGGGTTTTCTTGAACAATTACCTTAAAGTTGTGATTTGTGAATGAAGGAACTATTTTCACAATGGATATTTCATTTCTCATTGAGATTTTAGATTCATAATCTGAAATGATACAGTACGAGTCTTCATTCACAAATGATTATATAATTTTAAAAGCTCAATTCTGTATTTTAAAAACATTGACATTATGATTTCAAGTGTGAAACAAACATTTGAAAACCAATCTAAATCGTATTGTGTAAAATAATGAAATTACATCAGCTCATAAACTTTAAATAAATAAATAAGTTCATAAATTTCTTCTTTATTATGCTTTTTCCTATCGTTTTCCCTGTTTTGCCAATACGTCAGCGATTTATACGTCTCTTTCTTTCTTTTCTCCCGTTTTGGGTAGGGTCAGAGAGCAATATACACAACGCCCTTCAAAAGAATTTATCTTCCAATTCTTCCTACAACAAACAGAGTATTAAAAAGATAATGGTTGGCAGCCAGCAAGAAGCTCTCTCCCAGCAAGAAGCTTTGTCTATTGACATGCCCTCACAACCGTCTGGCGACTCCAAATTCAATCCCAAACGAACAGGTTAAATTAAATGGTTTATATCAAGCACACACTCGGAGAAACTAGAAAGCTTAAGTTTTCATTTGTTTTTTTAGGGACTGTTTGCACGGCGAGTGCGCGTATAACAACTGGTGTGATAGGTTCTGGAGTTCTGTCGATGACATGGGCGGTGGCGCAGCTAGGTTGGATAGCCGGACCGGTGGTAATTTTGTTCTTCTCCTCCGTAACTTATCTCACGTCTATCCTCCTGGCCGCATCTTACCGATCCGGAGATCCCGTCTCCGGCGAGAGGAACTACACTTACATGGACGCCGTACAAAACATTCTCGGTATACATGCACATAACGAGCATTTCAAGTTTATTTGAGAATCGTTGACAAAAAAAATTAAATAATAATATTTAGAGAGCATAAACTATTATATAATAATAGTAATCTAATGGGAGGAGAGGAGTGATATGGCTTTGTTGCTAACGGTTTAAATGGTCTGCAGGTGGTGTCCAGGCGAAGCTATGTGGGATTGTTCAGTATCTTCATCACTTTGGTGTTGCTATTGGGTACACTATTGCCACTGCCATTAGCATGAGGTGAGAATTATTTCCTCTCTTTTTTAGCATGTTCAGAACTCCGAAAATTTATTTCACTGTAAGCTTCATAATTTGTACATATTTGAGTATTGGGTCAGAATCTGGCCGTCAGATGTTTGGATAATTGGGTTCTAATAAAATCTTGAAACCTAAAACAGGGCAATACAGAGATCGAATTGCTTTCACAACAGTGGAGGCAAAAACCAATGTGAAATGAACATCAATCCATACGTGATATCCTTTGGAGTGTTGCAGATACTCTTCTCTCAGATCCCAAATGTCGATAAGCTCTCTTGCCTCTCCATCATCGCCGCCGTCATGTCCATACTTTACCCATCAGTCTGTATTGGGCTCGTGATCGCCAAAGTTGCAGGTAGCTAAGGTTTTTTTCTTTTTCTTTTAGCACTGGGTATTTCATTGATAAAGAGAAAAACAGAGTTTCAGCACTAGAAACAGAGCTGAATTGATAGAAAAGAGCGAAAGGAAATCCACTTTTCTCTCTTTTATTTTTATTTTTACAGTAATTATTTATTTATTTATTTGTTGACTGAATTTGATTCTCGTGTAGAAATCAAATCATATCATGTTGATTTTGTAAATACACTGCCACATATTTAAAAATCTAATGATAATTCTGATAGTACAGATTGTAAAATGAATAATGAATCATTACAAATGAGCCAAAATTTTGAAAATCTGATGTATTTCAAATTGGTTGGAGTTGATTTTAATATATGAAACCAATAACACCCCTAAGTCTTTAGCCAACCAAATTACTAATTTTTGATGTTTAAAGATTTTTTTCTTGTTCCTTAATTTTGATGTTTAATTTTTCTAAGGTTATTATTTATTAATGAATGTGACATTTTATAAACTTCAAGGAAAAGTAACTAAAAGTAACTGAATACTTAAATTACTACTATTGTTTAATACTATTAGAAAAGTAGTTCATGTAAAAAGAAAAGTCATCAATAATAAAACACTACATGATTCTTCATATATGTGAAAAACCTTAAACGAACAGATGGAGTAAGTCTTTGGCTTTTAAAACTTTGGAGAATTTTTGTTAAAACTAAAGTCTTTTAAACCATAGTTTAGCCAACCAAGTTTTAATAGTTCTGAAAGTCAACTAGGGTTGTAAAACCTGATGGTTGAACCTCCCACGCAACCAAGGTGACCGAAAACTAAAGACTAAACAACCTTTTTTCTTTTTCGTCATCGATTCAGAAAATGGAAACGCCAAGGGCAGCCTGACAGGGATACGCATAGGAGTAGTGGCAAAAAGGGAGAAGATTTGGAGAATTTTCGAAGCTCTTGGAAACATTGCTTTTGCTTACTCTTCTTCCAAACTCCTCTTTGAAGTTCAGGTAACCGGGATTCCAAAGTTAATATATCTTTGTAGATTCTATGGCACATTGGTAAATGGTAACTAAACACTAGATTTATGTCCGAAACAGGATACGTTGAAGTCGCCGCCATCTGAGGAGAAGACAATGAAGAAAGCATCTCTCGTGAGTGTTGCGGTGATAACGTTGCTCTTCATGTTGTGTGGATGTGTCGGTTATGCAGCGTTTGGGGACATGTCTCCAAATAATCTTTTAACCGATTTTGGGTTCTATAATCCTTACTGGTTACTTAACACTGCCAATGCTGCTGTTGTGGTTCACACAGTACGTGAGTACCAAGTCGCTTGCCAACCAATTTTTGCCTTCATCGAGAAGCAAGCTTTGGTCCCGTTTCCTGCTAGCGACCGAGATATCAAGTTCCACATTCCGGGTTTTAAGCCCACAGTTAGTTTTAATCCTCTCAGGTACAAAACCATTTTCATAACTTATTGATGTCGATATATATATATCGATTCATCCTTAAAGATAATATGTGAATGACATAAAATAAAATAAAATAAAACTCTTTTTCTTTTTTGGTTTCTAGGTTGATATGCAGGACGTTGTTTGTGATGTTAACCACCTTGATCTCAGTGATTCTTCCGTTCTTCAATGACGTAATTGGTCTGGTCGGAGCACTCGGGTTTTGGCCGTTGACCGTGTATTTTCCGGTGGAGATGTATATTAAGCAGAGGAAGATACCAAAGTGGAGTAAGATGTGGGTTTGCCTTCAGCTCTTCAGTTTATCTTGCTTGGTCGTGACTATCGCCGCTGCTGCAGGTTCAGTCGCCGGAGTTGTTTTTGACTTCAACACTTAAAAGCTCTTCAAAATGGACTAGACTTCCCTGGGAGAGAAGTCAGTATTCCTGAGTTAAATGTAATTATGTAATAATTCTCTCACCGTTAAGATTTTCTCGGAAGAGAGGTTTAATTCCACTAAATACTAATATGATTGAAGGTTTTAAACGAATCTGGTGATACTTGACAGTTTTTGATTAAAATCCTTACATTAATTTTAATAGTTTAGGTTCCTTTTTTAGACATGCTCATTTCTCTGACAGAGGTGGTAGAGACTCTGTTAACTTCTGCAAAACGCTTGGCTTTTAGGGTAGTTAATTTAATTTTTCTATACGTTCATGACATAATTATACCACCAGTTATAGTTTTTTTCTTTATTTTTTGAAAGATTTTAGTTCATTCACATAATCACATGTAGGTTTGGGCAGGGAGCGGATATCCGGAAAATATCCGTGATCCGTGATCCGATCCGTCTAATCCGGATAGTTGATTTTGCGATCCGCTCCGATCCGAAACTTTCCGGATATCCGAAAATCCGGATATCCGTAAAAATTTAAAATATCTGCGGATATCCGATTCGATCCGTAAAATATTTTTAAAAAAAACTAAAAAATATATATTATTATAAATAACTGAAAATTAGATAGAAACATCCCTAAATATATTATTGTTTCATAAATTATAATATGTCTTTAAAAATAGGTTCTAAAAATGTTAATTAACTGATCACAAAGATACCACTAAACACAACATCGTTAATATTAAAACATAATGCAAATATAATTTTAAAGTTTTAAACATATTATTTGTTAAATTTTTTATTTAGTCACAATATTCCTAATTTTAAAATAATCAAGTAAGCTATTGCTACATTATTAAACCTTTTTACTGCATAAATGAGTGGATTATATTTGTGAAAACAATAATTTTGTTAATTTGTATGTTTCTAAAGACAAAAAAACAATTTTCTTATTATAATGTGTATATATATACATAATTATTATAATATACAGATCGGATCGGATATTCGGTTTTTCAAAAACATTATTTGCTATTTGCTCCGGTTTTAACGGATATTAAATTTTAGTATTTGCTTTGATTTGTCTCGTTACGGTTATCCGGAATTTTCGGATCGAATCAAAGCGGATAGCGGATCGAATCGGATATAGCGGATAATTTGCACATGTGTTGTATACGAAGTACTCAAGTCAGGTGCATGCACACGTAGCCCACGTCATCATTAAGACAATGACAACTAGTGTCCAGAATTTAGGATTTAAATGATACCACTTTGGTAAGTAATGACGACGAAACATCGAAAACGCGCTTCAAGTTTGTTAGCGAGAAGCTAAGCTCTGGTCCATCCCAAGATCTTTGCTTTCATTTCTGATTTACATAAAATACCGTCACACTTGATCTGCAGAATTCGATTAATTATACATTCAATTCAGAAAAAAACAAAAACAAAATAACGACGAAACAAAATTTACAGATTTTAGACCCCTAGTTTGACTCTAATTTGATTTGCTTCATCTATTGCGCTTTCTTTTTTTGTGTGCATAGATAACATTCCTTTGGACGATTTAATATGGTTATGAAGATTTTGGTTTTGTTCAAGCAAATAACTACTTGCCATACTGCTTTAAAATAAATTGAAACTATAGCCGTATGATAATGATATGATTTAAAATTTAAATGATACATCTGATGCTAAATAAGCAACATAGTTTTTTTTAAGTCATTAGAATTATAATGACAATGTCGATGAAATGAAATTTAGGGTGCAATGCAAGTGTGACACAGATATAAACTTAAGCATTAAAGGTCACATTGCCTGATTTTCTACTGTCTAGCACTCAAGAGAATGTAGTGTATTGTGTGGAGGCGTAACTTGAATCGAACGAGACTTATTCTTAGATGAACAGTTCTTGACATTCCATTGGGGATGACCAGTACTGCAAGGATGAACAGTTCTTGACATTCCATTAGAAATATTTTATAGTTTGAAATTAATATAATATTACTAATAGACTAATATTTTATAGTTTTTTACATATACATAGTTCTCCTACAGTTTAAGATTTTCACGAAAGAAAATTAGATTATCACGAAGTATATCTTTACATGAATAACTATAATTGATTGTTTTTGAACCAAAAAAAAAAAACTATAATTGATTGTTTTAGATGAATCTGGTGATACCTGCGATTTTCATTAAAAACATTATAATATTCTCTTAGAATCTTAGGGCATGTGCATTGCACAGTTTCTAACAGGTTCTAGAGTGAAAAAATAAAGAAAAAATGAAATTATATATGAGTTGTCAGCTCTCAAAGTTCTGAATCGTCTCTGTGGGAGCATCCAATAAAATCGACTCTGTGTAACTGTTCACGACACGTGTCAATAAGCTATTGGCTTTTATTTTATTTTTTCTGATATGATTTCTTTTTCCTACGCAATATTTTTTAATTTCTCTCCACTTTCTTCAGCTCGATCAATCCGTAAATCCGACACAATCCGATCCAGTGACGCATTATCTCCGTCGGCGAGAGAGAATCATAATCGATATCGAGCGAGAAAGAGTAAAAGCGAACAGAGGAACCAGAATCTCCTCTGGTTCCATGGCCGAATTAATTCAGAGAGGTTTTGGAATCACGATGATCGTATTCGGCGTCTGCTTCCTTCAATCCTCTAAACCCAAATCGGATTCCGCCATTCTTCATCATATTCTTCTCATCCAGATTCTTCTTCGCTTTCTTTCAAGAGATTGACTCCCATGACTGCTATCTCTACCTCTTCACCTACCCTCTTCGCTCCTACTAGCTCAATAAACAAGGCAGAGTAAGAGATTCTCCCCCCTCTTTCATTTCTTCTTAACTATCGGCCTATATTGCATTCTTCATCCATTTGTATCAAAGCTAATCGTTAGTTCTGGTGGGAATTTGGATTTGAAGATCAACCCCTTTTGTATAAACGTTTTTCCAGAATTCATCATATCAGAGCGATGCTTACATACTTGAGTAGCATTGAGTTGATTATGTATTCTACTTAGAAAACAGATTTGCAACAGCTCATTGAGAACTATCGCTATTTGAATCATAAAAGGGCCGGTGGTGATTTGATTAGTAATTGTTGTATATTGATGAAGAGTTGTGGTGCTTTAGGTAACGATGCAGCATGCAAAAGAGTTCAAATCTGAGCTTAAGACGGAACCTGAAGATTCTGCTTCTGGCTCAGAGGTTGAAGATCATAGGCTCTTTTCTATTAAAGGAGAGATCATGGAGATATACCCTCAAGAAATAAATGTAGTCTTGTTCTACAATTTTTCTATCAATTCACTACCAAATGTGTATTTTAAGCAAAGACAACAATTTGTAAAACTTTAAAGGGGAAGAACCTTATATGGTCTCTGCAATGTGGAGCTCAAAACCCAGAAATTGTTAAAGGAGCTATTTACTTAAATTAATAATATTTTTAATCTTAAAATATTTTAAAGAGTCTCATATTGAGTTGTGCAATGCACATGCTCTCAGGCATTGCTCACTTGTACCGACATATATGTACTTCTCTGACACAGGTGGGTAGGTAGAGATCACCTGTGTTAACCTCTGCGTAACGCTTGGCTTTTACTTGGAAGTAATTTAATTTTCTTAGACGTTCATGTAATATAATAGTCCGGTCTACCAATTATTTTATTTATATTTTGAACCATTTTAGTTCGTACGTATTACGCGAAATGCTCAACTTGTATCACACGGACTAGCAAGTTGTTTAATTTACAATAATTTGATTCCTATCGTGTATCTCACGTCAACGCTCACCATCCCAAGTTTCCAAATTTTATGATCTGAAGATAACCACTTTCGGAAGGAAGGAAGTAACGACGTCAAATTTGACGACTAATTTGGTTTTCATTTTTATTGTGTGGTTGTTGTCAATGCACGTTCGATTTAAAACGATACACTTGATGCTATAAAACATTGGAATTACAATGACAACAATGTCAATGAAATGAAACTGATCCAAATTCATTTATCGCATTTATATTTACATGAATCTCTTGACTTTTCTTCACACATCTTTCTTTGCAGTACGACATTACTAGTATAGTAGTACGCATGTTCTGACGGAGTATATGTTATACCTTTCACAAACTAACCAATAATCATATCCTTATATTTTACCTAACTACCAAAGCCACCAAACATCTCCGACAATATCCCTCAACCTAATACTACAATACACGGAGACATCTTAGTTTACATAGAACTTTTTTTACCTTGTTAACTTTGTGCATTTTTTTCTTTACAATTTCGTGTACATTTATATTCAGCTATTCAAGATATGTAATGAATTGTACCCCAAAAAAAAAAAAAAGAAAAAAGTTGTGTTGATACAACACCAGACTACTATACATTTATCGTTGTCGAAGATATGCTATGAAATACATGACTTAACATACTATGAAATTGATCCAAATTCATTTATCGCACAACTCCCACTTCAATATTCGTTTTGTGTTCAAAAAGAAATTGACCTAAATTCATTTATCGATATCAAACATATCTTCGATTATAAGACCATAGCAAAACAAAAATTTAACACAACGAATATTGAAGTGGGAGTTGTGCAGACTATATTCGTTGACAGGTACTCCTAAGATGCGAAAGTCCGAAGTCATGAATTCAATGCATAACCATAAATGATAGGTAAGAAATTCGAAACTAAAAGTATTTGGAGTTTAATGTGGATGGTTAATGTTTGGACATCGGTGTTGGGGTACGTCACCCAAATGTGGTAGATTGATTTTTTAGAGAAAGGTAGTCTTTCAAAAATGAAATTCTGATGCAGTATTTTTGGTATCAAAATTTAGAATTATCAAAATAATATTCGCATTTGACTGAAATCGATTACGAAAAAAAAAAAACATAACAAATTTTATAATATGTAATCAAACTTAAGCATTAAAGGTCACATTGCCTGAATTTCTACTTTCTAGCATTCAATCATATATAGTTAG